TCGAAAAATTCTCAAATCTCCTAATTTTATAGTTCTATAGAAACTGATTTTAAAATCGCCAAAATGTTATAGAAACCGATCTTAAAATCGCCAAAATGTTGATAAGTCGCCAAATTTAGAGCCGTTTAATAAAACAATTCACATCCCCAACAGTAAAAAGTTTAGTCTTTATTAGAAATGGCCGTCGTAAAAATAGACAGAAATATCAGATGATTAAAATTAAGTACCTTCTGCTGATTTTGGCCAAAATTAAGGAATTTTAAAGACCAAAAATCGATTCCAAAAAATCTAAGGACTTTTAAGGAGTCTTAACACCCTGATTAAAAATTCAGTACCATGAGTAATGAATGTGCTTGTGATTGCGATGCTTAATGATTCCCATTATCTATGCTTCGGTGCGTATACAATAGTTTTGTGTAAAAATAAAACTAGGTTAAGGTACGCTGATTGTTTTCGTCGTTGGATAGTGTGAAGTGCTCCATCGATGCGTTACCATACACTTGAATGGAATAGAAGTGACTGCTTTCGGAACTTCAAAATATCATATATTCTTATACATTTTCTACCTACCTTGCTCTTTCTTCCAATTTTGTTTCAAGTTCCAATTATTAATTAAGTTTAAAAAAAATAGGTTAAACAAAATTATACCTTGAGCCCCGTAATTCATTTTAATTTGTGTACATCCCCTTTCTATTCTAAAAGTAGAAATTGTTTGTAATAATTTTTCTGTGCGTTTTTCCAATTTAATCTGTTTCACGCTTGCTTATGTAATTCTGCACTGCGGATAGCTGTTATCCGGCAAGATTCACTTTCGACTACATTCCCATGCTTCTACATACGCACTTATTTCTCCCATTTTCTACTTCGCCTTTGCTGCCATTGTCTGAAAATATAAGCTACACAAAATTGTGGAATGCATATCGCACCCATACTGATGTGTGAATGAGAACATGTATCGAAAATTAAGTGTCCAGAAATAAATTGTGTTTTTATGTTCAGTCATGTTTGTCTGTGAATGTCATCATATGTGTCATATGTGTGTGTGTGTGTGTGCGTGCGAAGGTTAAAATCAAAGCAAATTCAAGTACCATATCAATCTTGGCATGAAAAAAAATATATATTGACATAAAAAAGCAAAATTGTTAAAAAAGGCAATAAACCCATTGTATCAGGTACAGGTAGAAGTGGGCGATACACGAGCATTTTATCACTGGTCATACAAGTTTAGTCCCGCAGCACTAACCGTGCACAATCAATGCATTATCAATCGACTGAATTAATTCGGGGGAAACATAATCACTACAAGTACATGACAAACGTGAAAAATTAAAGTCAAATGGATTTTACATCTTCTGGTACATTTACTTCGAGGGGCTGGCACGCCGAGAAATGCAAGAGAAAAATGTTTATTTCTGAGACAACAGTTGCGCAATTTAGAAATTAAATTAAATTTAAATGAGGGAAAATATAACTTAAATCAAACTGAGCGAATATTATATACTTTCACAACTCAATTTATTTGGTCTTCCAAACCTTTTCATCTTCCTTCACTAAAACTTTCTTTCGACATAATTTCTCCTAGGTTTATTTTGACTTAAGTTAGCTCAACCACTTTTAAGGTTGGGGGGGGGGACTGAGACAATTTAAAGCGTATCTAATGTCTATTTGGACAAGCCCTTGAATAAATGATAGAAAATAAGCACATTTGTTACTGAGCTCTTATGACAGCAAACTTTCAGCACGCTAGTCCAATTTGCAATCTAGAGAAACTTGCTAAATTGCTAGATTATCCTTACAGATGAAAACATCGCAAAGGAAAACATCGTCGTACAAACATCGAGAGAAAGAAAGCAAGGTGAAAAACATCGTCCTCCAAAACAAAGAGGTTCTCAAACATCGACAATGAAAGTATCGTGGCAAGAACAATAAAGCACCTACAAATTATTGCATGACTATAACATCGCAGGCATGTTTTTTTATGTTTTAAGAATTGTAAGTGTATCTTCTCACAATGATTTGTGCGCGCAAGTGGGAATGACCTCTTTATTTCATATTGATTTGCTAAAAAAGGAAGAGGAAACTCAAGCATTTAAAAACTAAAAAGAAGTAGGAAATTAATCCTACATATAGCAGTTAATAGAATTTCAAATTTATGTACTTAATTATTAAAAGTTACCATTTAATTAATCTTTTTTGTGAAGTTCTACTGGCAAGCAGGGGCGTAGCTAGAGGGGGCATCTGTCCCCGGGCGCAGAATCCAAGGGGCGCCAAACTGATGTTACGACATTTTAGAATTAAATGTTTCCATCCTTGGCAAGCAGTAGGGGGCGCGAAATCTTCAGATGTCCCTGGGCGCTGAAAAACCCTAGCTACGACTCTGCTGGCAGGTTTTCATGAAAAATATACTCTGCAGCAGGGGTTTCCCAACCTTCCGTCCAACATATATTCTAGAATGTGCTCTTAGGGACAAAAAGGTTGGAAAACCCTACTCTACAGGTATTAGAAAAGGGAAGATGAGTAACTGAATATGGTTATCTATAATAAAATTATTTCACTAACTGAAGCAAAACAAGATTTAATTTTTACTAAAAAATATCAGATTAGCAAAATGAAAGAAAATTTTACAATTTGATAATTTAACTAAACAATTTCAATTTAGGTAAATTTATGCAGTTACTCATCTTCCCTTTTCTAATTTCTTTAGACAATGTTTGTCATGAAAAACTGACAATACATTTTCATAGAGGAAATTAAGTAATGACTTTCAATAATATAGTACATAAATTTAAAATTCTATTAACTGCTTTATGTAAGATTAATATTCTACTCCTTTTCAGGTTTTGAATGTTTAAGTTTTCTTCTTGCTTTTTTAGTAAAAAATTATTAATTAATTCAAAAATATGAAATACAGAGGTAAAAATATTCCTCATTCTTTATTGGACTCACAATAAACGTTTAGCGAATATACGTTTACAACTTTTAAATTCTGAAAAATACATGTCTGCAATGTTTTCGTCATACTTCTAGGTGCTTTATTTTTTATCACGGTATTTTTAACAGCAATGTTTTTGAACCGCTTTATTTTCGATGATGTGTTTTACACCATGATGTTTCAGAACTGCAATGTTTTTTCTTTTTTTTCCCTCACACGATATGATGTTTTCTCGGCGACGGTTTCGCCTGTAACCGTTTTACTGTTACTTACACAAACGTACCGAACGTAGTAGTTTATTACTCGATTCTTTCATAAATTTAAAACTAATTATTTACAGTAAAAGCAACATTGGGGGGATTCTGAATTTTTTAGAATATTGTTCTTGGCTTTCCGTAAGTAACAGGATAAAATACACATTTATATGCTGAGTTATATTAAAGTTCACTGAAACACAAATTTTTAAATGTATACCGACTATCTGGATCTCTTAAAATGCACCAGGGCAGCAGTTTCCAACCCCCTTTTTTTTTTTTTCTTTTCCGTACCCTTTTATAAGACTTTTTAACTATAGAGTAAAGACTCCGTATGATTTATTTTCAAAACATGATTCCCCAAAATCTAACTTTTTGATCATAGAATCAGTTTTGTCAGACACAATGAAAATAATTATTACATTATTCTGTAATTCTAAACCGAGTTAATTTATTTTTGAAAAAACTTCGGGTAGTTATGAACTCAGAAGCCATCCATCATTGTGAAATTTCAAGCTTAACTAAAATGAGGTGTTATGAGGTGTTCAATAAATGGTTGGCACAGACACCAATTCAAAGCTATTATGCACAGTAGCTCGAATTCTGTGCGAAAACTGACATTTTAACATTTATCTTATTTTACATAGGCAATACTTAAAAATTCTCGCTTTTAAAAGAATTTTAAAAATATTACCCAACCTCCAACTGGTCAGACTGTCCTGCAGTGGTAGTTTGACCACGGCTCAAATCTCGGCGAATGGGATGGGCGTTTCCATGCTTTTCCCCCATGTATGACATGAAAGAGTCAATTTCCATCAAAAAGACCTCCACAAAGGCATCTTTACTCTTGGCAGATACCTTTGTCATAATAAAAAAACAGAAGAGAGAACTAATTTGAATGCCACAATTATAAAGAAAGATAACTACGTAATTTATTTGATGATTCGCTCAATACTGAAAACATAGTTAACTACCGATCGTGCTATACGATACGCACTGATAAAAAAAAAAAAAAAAAAGACTAGCTACATGCGATGCGTAAGGAACTGAGTATTATGGTAGGAACGGACGAAGTTAGTTACAACTTGTCACAAGCTTTTGAATATTTTGCTTTTTATGAGCATTTATTAAAACACTTATTTTCCGCCATTATCGATTACTTTTTCACACACCCCTGACTAAGGCATCGCTTACCCCCAGGATTACGCGTACCATGTTGGGAACCACTACACTAGGGTGATATGAGACTATTAAATGCGGTAAAACAAAATTGTATCACAAATTTTCGCCAGACTGTAAATGCATTAAACAATTTTAAAATAGTTATTAAATACATAAAGTAACATATGTCGGGAAGCTTCAAATAAATCATATAAAAACATCATGCATATATATAAAATACAGAAAATCTACAACCTTTACTTTTCAGTTAGAGGGAATTAATTTCCTTAATCTCCCAAAAATTAAGGCTGATGATAATAAACATTTTAAAAATTATCTGCAGTTTATCACAGTCCCTACTTAAAGACTGCAACAATTTATCGCATGTGAGTTGCATAATATAAATAGCTCAAAATAAATCAAGATAAAATTAATCCCTTTTCAACGAAATTAAAATAATTATCGGCTTACTTAAAAATGATTCAGTCTTATAATACTATATTAAATAGATTAATGAAAAATCTATGCACTCAGAAAACAATTTGAAATCCATCTAAATTTATAATTTTACAATTCTCTGTTATAGATTATTTCAGAAATCCAAATCTGCCAAGGAATAACAGCTAAATTATCTAAATTACTTATACTCAATATAAAACAAAAAATATGACGCAAGACTTTTATTAATTGAATTAAATTATCTCGATCATTTTTAACAAAATGTAGGTATCCCAAATAATTAAAATATTATATAATTCATCAACATAACTGAAATGTTAGCCATAAAAGCGAAAAATTTTGAACGTCACTTAAAAAAAAAATCTTATAAAATGCAAGGTACGAAATTAGCATAAAAATTGCAGATAAAATTTCTCTACATGCCCTAAACTTTAAACACGAAGGAAAATTTTAGGTTTAAGTAGGTTATAGTTCAAGTTAAATTTAAGTAGATTTGCTGTTTCATTGTCTATGGAAAATCTATTTTCATAATCGATCAAGTCTTACGGTACTCTCTTTTTTACAGGAATATTCGAAAGAGTACACAGCGGCGGGAAGTTCGAATGAATAAATTCACTTTCCATTTTCAAGTTCTAAGCACCTTCTTCCTCTAGGAAGACGTCCCCATATTCGATACTACGATAAATTTTCCTTTTCACTTTCGTCCTGAACCTTGACCTGCCAAAAAATGGTCTCTGATTCACAAAGACGTCGTATCTTTCAGTTTTTTTCCATGTATAGTACAGTTTTACGATATCGTCTAAAGTCTTGGTGTGCACAAACTTTTGCACTAAATAGAAATCTTTACCATACATCTCTAACCCGTCTTCAAATCGCCGACATTCATCTTCGGACCACGTCACATGAAGGTCCTGAATCTGAGGAAGCAGTTCAAGTGCTTTCTCCGTATTATATTCGCACTGATGAAGCAAACGAAGGGCAGTTTCTTGATCTACACAAAGTTTTCCAGCGAGTTTCACAGATTTCAAGTAATCCGCCACTTCCGTTTCTGGCAGTGCGCCAGGATCCCACTGCAACTCACCCACAGAAGAATCGCACACGTCATACTTCACACTGCATATCGCAGGAATATCGGCCTGGAATTGTGAACCCACTCGAATCCTGAAGGATTCTGAATTTCGATTACTACGCAGATACACTTTGCTTCGGTAATCCATAAGACTCACTGACAAGAATTGCCAACACTCGTTCTACGTCGTTGAACAAGCGGTTAACATCCAAAGCACGTGAGTATTCTCCTTTAGTGCGCATGCCTACCGGCAACCCTGCAGCCGACGGCTAAATTCTATCCGCTCGTTTAGAAACGAGCTGTAGTTACTAGAAGCAATAAATTCTTAGTAAATTTATTTATATGATAGGTATCCATGTCATGACCTTTGTTATGTAACGATTTTCATTTGTAATTTATCTCAGTTTCACAGAAATTTCTGTCAGGATATTGGGAAGGCCAGCAATAATTATAAAAAGAGTATTTCTTTTTAAAAAAGATACACTTACGACGTATTTTTTAAGATTTAAGTGGTATATTTAAAAATTTATGTGCAGCTAGTAGGACTGGATCGTAAAGACCTATTGTACTTCTGCATCTGTTTATTAAATATGTAATCAATGATTCGTATTATTAATTATGTTGAACTAAATCAATAAATTTAGTAACTGAAAAATAAATCAAAATATTGTTATTAATTAAGAAATAAACCTAAATTATTAATAATTTTTAATTAAAATACACTTCGCATTTTTAATAAAAAATAATCGCATCAAAACATGCATGACATTCCCTACCCCTTTTGGTAAATGACTCAGTTGCTTCGGTTTCTGATACAAGCAACACATAACTTACTTTATATAACTTTATAAGCTTTCGCAAAATGTTTTCTTTATTTTATCGAGATTCTGAATGTCTCTACTTACATTTTGGATTTTCGAAATGTAATATCCTTCACTCGATTTTTGCGCAATTAACTGTACAGAAAATTATTGTATGATTTTAATAACAGTTCTCAAACCTTAATTATAGATTTCGTTGTAGACTTCCGTTGTAGATAACTGTTCTACCTATTTTTAGATTACATACCTGCTATGAACTTCAAAACTTCATTATGTCCATCTTTAGTTAAGAATTCCATCTGTAATTCGTAGGAAAAAAAAAAAAAAAAAGAGAGGGGGGAGAAAACTATTTATGATACCAATGAAATATAAAATAAAAATAAGTAAAACAATTAAAACCTCATATATTTTATAATAAATTAACTCAATAACTTCAATTTCTAAAATTGTACCCTACCTTTATAAGAAGGATTAACTGTAAGAAATGTAAAATACGATTTCCTTAGCATTTAAAATCAATAAAAATTTAAATATTATTTATTTAAGTGCGGCACTCTTTAGCGTAAAGCAGCGTTTCTTAAACTGTGGGTCGCGGGACTTGCAGCAGGGGGTCGCCAAAAATTAACAGTTTTAATATTTCTTTAACTTGTTATAATAATTTTACAATTACCAAATATTTTTACACAAAGTATCCGAAAATAGATAAACATAAGACAATACAGACAAAGAAAAAAGGAAAACGTTTCGAGGCATTCTTTTTATAATAGAAACATTCATTTTATTTGCTTTGCACGTGACGCTGTCATTTCGTCTGTTGCTTATTTAAAATTTTCGCATTGTTCTAGGTCTTAAAATTAGAAATTAAATTTAATGACCTAAAACCGCATAAGTATATAACCGTACAAGTGAAAAAAATTGAGAGTTTCACACATGCGTGTATCGGATTTGCGAGTGCTTATGGGGTTCTGGGGGTCGCGACTGAAAAAAGTTCAGGAAACTCTGGCGTAAAGTATGCCAAACATTTTCTTAAAAATATTTTTACTTTTTCTATACAAAAGGCCACAAAAATAGTTCTGAGACTATTATCTTCTTCAAAAGTTGTTAAATCATGAACTAAATGAGATAGTTTGTTTTTAGTTGATTCGTAAGTTCCTAGCTGCGAAATTTGAGCTTCGTCACAAGTTGCCCTTTTATACAGAAACAATTGCCAATTGTCAAGTGAATAAGATTATTAAATGTTAATAATTCATCCCGAGTTCCTTCACAGACGATTGATTGGTTAAGGCGATCTTCGAAATAAACTTTTGATAGCTCTGCCTCCAATCTATGTTGTAAGTAGTTAGAGTATTATTAATCATTCTGCATAAGGAAATGCAAAAACAAATGTGATTACGAAGCACCTTACGAAAGATAGATTACTTTGTAAATGCTTAGCAAAAACAATCGCTCGTTTCTTAAAAAAAAAAAAAAAAAAAATACTGAAAGGTTTCATATTTTAAATTACGTCCAAAGGAAGCGTTTTTTTTTAACATTTTCTGTGTTACCTTTATTTATTAAATATCATGTTCTTCGCACTTAAACCATAAAATTCAATTCAACAGCAGTATCGCAAAATAATTTTAAATTGAGCATATCTTTAGAATTTCGGATTCACAGTCCCACGCGCTGGAGATGTTGCCACTGCTCGCTTTGAAATCCTTGAGTTTGTTAATCAAAAATTCGTTAAAGTTTTACAAAATATGAAATTGATAATAAAAAAATTTCAAATTTGGGCTCCCAGATGCCCATATTCACAGTAGGATTATATCATTCAAAATTGGATGGCTCTAGTTACCGTTGTTTTATCACAATGCGAGAAATATACATACACTCATGCCGATTCATTATTTTTAATTTTTTTAAATATACTACAAGGCGATAATATTAACAATCTGAAAAGTGAAACGGACATTCAGAGTGATTAGACGCAAAATCGCAAACGAAAACAATAGTCCTGCAGGGACAAAGCCTCTTTGGACTATAATAATAATAATAATGATAATAATAATGTTTTAAGGCAGAAAAATGTGACTCAGTTTTGTTTCAAATAGAAAGTGGTTACGTATTTTGTTCAAAAGGGTCTTCTAATCCATTAATTTAATACACTCAAAATTATAGATTCATCAAAGATTGATGTACTAAACGGGATGACTTCTGACCTGAAATTAAAAAAAAAAAATATTTATTTTTTAGATTTTCTCGTTTTAAAATGTAATCTGTACGAAAAGAATATTTTATTCATTTACACCTCTTTTTTTTTTTTTTTTCTTTGAAATAGCTATTTGTTTAGTTGCATTGGAATCGAAAATGATTTTAATCTTATTTAATTGATTTAAATCATTATAATTATTAATCCTTATATTACTATACTATTTTAATACTGATAATTTTATTTTTTATTAATCTTCATAATAATTCTCGGGCATCGATTTTCAGGGTGCGCCAGCTGGTTTGTTCTCACTAGCAACAAAATGTGGTAACAGAAAGGACTAATGTACTAAAATACAGAAATTGTTGACAATATGTCTGCTCAATATTGGTGTTTTGAATACTTCAGATGCTTCTAAAAAGAAACAGGTGCCACACGTTTTTAAGGAGAACCTTATGCTTACAAAAGCCATCTGGTGCGTGAGGTATACGAATGCTGAAATTATTTATTTCTTTGGGACAGTTGTTTATATTTTATCATTCGAATTTTACTAGTTTAAAGGTATCTTTTGACAGGTTATATTATTTCTTTGCTTGTCTGTGGAGAGTCGTCAATTTTCGAACTCATTTTTGGTTTTTCAGCTGAAAGATATGCTACTGCTTTCAGTATTTTTACTTCCTTGTACGAAGTAAAAAGGAAGTATTGTAATCGCGAAAAGTTTCAGGCATCATATTTCAACACAAATATTCATATTTACCTCTAACGAATGCAATTTAATGATGTTTTTGCGTGACATCTGTACGTAAGGTTTCCCTCCCCCTCAAAAAAATATAAAACTAATTTTAAATGAATTCTGAAGAGAATTTTTCGTGCGTTCGTACGTATGTACGTATCTCGTATAACTCAAAAACGATTAGCCTCAGAACGTTGAAATTTTGTATATAGGACTGCTATAACATGTAGATGTGCACCTCGTATTTTGGTTGCAATCGGCCACACCAAAAGTATATAAATATATGTATATATATCTCAGCTCAGTGACCTTAGTTTTTTTATTCTTGTATGTTTGTAAATTGTGCATTTTTTGCTTTAAAAATGATTGAATTATGTTGTTCTTATGTTCCGGTTAAAATTTTTATGCCTTTAGTAAATCTGTATGCACTATTTGTAGAATTATCAACAGTTTAAAAGTTGTTTAAGTGCGGCTACGTCTAATTATTTTTGCCATGGTGGCCATGTTTGTTTGCATTTGAAACTTGGCAGAATAGTGATTTGTTGTCAATTTAGAGAAACTAAGCTTCACAACAACAAAGATAACGCCTTCTTTTATTATTGCGAATTAAATCACGCTAAATCTATTCTGGAATTTATTCGAGGAAATAAGTGTTTAAGATTTACTTTGTAATTTTTAATATAGATATTTTGAGTTCTAATGTATGCCTTGTAGAGAAGTGAGGACAGAATTAATTGAATGAGAAATTCTAAATCGTCTGTGAAAAACTTTTTTTTTTTTTTTTTTTGAGGGGGGGTGTTTAACTTTTTTTATAAATCGTTTTAGATTTATTATAATATTTGAATAGAACATGGGGCAACGATTAGATAATTCTTCAGATGATGTAAATTTTGTGCATTGTGAGTTATAAAATGAATGAAATGATAAGGGAAAGCGTAGCGCCAGAAAGTCAGTATGGTAAACAAATATGGTGAATTTTAAAGACTGCATTTATTCTATTGTGGTTTATGCGCTATCGATGAAGTAGATTTAATGAAATGCAAGGAAATATGCATATAATTTAATATTCTGTACAAGGAAGTCATGTGGTGTACACATCAGATTTTTTTTTAATTTTTAGTTTACATTTTTTAATATTTTCTGACTACTAGAAGTAAATTCATGAATTTGCTAAGCGATTGTGTGATATGACCTAACTGGGATTTTAGAAGGCTATATTAAACTACAAGCGCCAGAAGCCGTCGAGCTGGTGTTGGTGACACATGATAAGGCAGTATGCCACTAATGACAGTCTGAATCCATAAATATATATATACAATATTTACAAACAAATTAAACACATAATGCACATATAACAGATAATAAAACATAAGAGATAAAACACAAGCAGATAAGTTGTGGTGGAATATAGAAGTTACAGTAACATTAAAAAGCAGTGTAAATGTTTACATAACCTAGACATTTAAATTGTGCCATGGACCTGTCAATGTTGCTGTGACAATTATAACCATAGTCGCATATTTGTATACTGCGGTTGTCAATAAGTTGTTGACGTTCGTGAAAATTCTTAGCTCGACACTAAGTTCCTCGTGGATTCTGTTATTGCGAACGTACCATTCAGCACTAATAATTTTTTTCAACACACTATTTTGACATACTTGGAGTCTTTTTCTGTTAGTCTTCCTTGTCTGTGCCCAAATTGGACTTGCATAACAGAGCAATGCTCTGAGAATGGACTTGTAAATGAGTAACTTATTGTCCATAGATAACACACCGTTTCGAGCAATTAAGGGGTATAGTTTTGCTTTACAAACTCGAAACTTTTGGATTATAGCTGTGATGTGTGGGCACTATGTAAGAGTATTATTGAGGATCACCCCAAGAAATAAATACTTGCTTGGCCCGAGGAATTGAGGTGCTGAAGATTCTTGTTGATATTTGTCTTCCTGGTGAATTAAAGAGCTTTAGTTGTTTCCACGTTCACTTGAATTTTCCATTTGGAAAGCCAAGTCTCTAGCGTGTATATATAGTTTTGTAGTCGTTGTATAACTGTACCAATGAATGCATTTTGTTCGAGGATTGCTGTGTTGTCTGCATGCATAGCTAATGCTGTGTCGTATGTGGTAGGAATGTCGTTCACGTAGATATTTAAATATGTGTGTCCAAGTAAAGATCATTGCGGGACGCCAGCAAAGATAGTATAGCTAGTGGAGTTTGTGCCTGATACGTGAACGACAAAGTGTCTACCTGTGAGCTAGGAATTAATAATGTTTATGATGTTGTCCGGGAAACCCAAAACATGTAATTTGTAGGTGAGGGCATCTAGGAAAACTCGATCAAAAGCCTTGACGATATCTGTGAATAGTCTACTGGTGACCATTTGAGAAGTCATTCGCTCAGAGATGGTCTCCACAACTCGGTACAGTTGAATGGTAGTTGAGAGGTGCCTCCTAAATCCAAATTGATGCCGAATAATGATGTTGTTTGTATCTAGGTGGTCATTGATTCTTTTCAGGATCACAGCTTCGAAGATTTTCTTAATAGATGAGAGAAGGCTGATGTATCTGTAGGACTCGGGTTTTGAAGCAGGCTTTAAGATGGGAACTATTTTACCAGTTTTCCAAGGCTGAGGGAAGTGCTGCCATGTCAGAATGATGTTGCAAATCTTGGTGAGAATGACAACAGTCTTGATAGAGAATCTGTTAACCGTGCAGTTGGTGATGGCGTCGATCCCAGGGCTTTTTCTTTCCTTATTTATGATGGCATAGACTTCTGACGGTAAGGCTGGAATAATGTTGTTTGTGCGTGTGCTTGTTGAGAAGGTGGAATGAAACTGGTGTACAAGGTTTTCTGTGCGAGTGTCATGAATATTGTTAGTGCGAAATTCAGATTCCACATTACCTAATCTCTTTGCTCGTTCACTTATGTCATACAAACCACGCGCAAAATGTCCCCCTTTTCTAAACCTTAAAAATTAAATTTATTAAAAATCTGTTGTAATTTGTAATTTAATTGCCACTCAATAAAACATTGAAAACTCTATTATTAAAAACTTCAGATGCCTATAAAATATGCAACTTAATTTTAAATCCTAAGACTCAATATCTGTAGTTAAGATTTTTTAACTACATATATGATTCAAGAACCTGTTTTAACCATATGTGGTTCATAACAGGTTCAAAAACCTGCTGTTATTTCAAAATATTCTTCGTGATTCAAATTACTTCGAGTCTTGGCCTACTATCTAAGATTTGTGAATAACTGTTCGCACCCTGAGAAGAAATATATATAAAATAAATAAAAACAGTAATTATATATGAAAAAAGCATTTTTTCATAAGGTGGGAGCTTTCAAATTCTATCCAAATTTTATAATGGAGTGCGATTTTAATTCTTTTTGTAATATAATGGAATGTTCAGTGCAGTTCACAAAGTCTAGGTACCTTTTGTAATTCGTAATTATTAATTTTAATTTGGTAATAATCCTTTTTATTCTCCATTTCAATCTGGTTATCGTATCTGTTCTAAATTTTTTATAATAAATTTTCTGGGTTTGTCTTTCCATTTCATGTTTGCTTACGTATTCCTCCTGCATTGCGACAGCTTGTATCCTATCTCAATTCCGGAATTTAAGTAAAGAAATCACATTTGTAAATACTGTTGCCAATATTGAGCGGCGCTTTTTTCGACTTCGTTTTTTTTTAGATATACCTCTTTCCTGCTCCTTCGTCCTTTGTTTAAGGAGATGCTAGTTGTATAAAACTGCAGGGTGTATCTCGCACCCATAAATTATGCTATGTGAATCTGTTTATACGAATCAAGTGCCTGCTCTAATACGAAAATGAAATTATGTGTTTTAATCAACGGCCACGTCTGAAAACTTTTCTTCTTTGTTGTGTCATTTTCTGTATCTACTCAGTATTCTATATCTTCTACTCTCAAACCATCTTTTAAATTTTATATATATATTTATGTATACATAATCACTTTCAAACTTCAGATGTAGCTATTTGTAAAGAATATGCACAAATGTTATTGCGATTAATAAGCAGAAATCAAGGAAAGATAAAATTTTTATTTCACATATATGTTACGTTTACAATGGTAATATCAAAATTTACACATGCATTCACATATAAGCACCTAGTAAAAAACAGTACATGTAAGACATGAAATAAAAGAAGCTACTTTGGCATGGTTTGCAATATATATCTCGATATGCAATGTTTCATGTATGCGGCATCATTATTATTATTTCGAAATGCTCAGTGCTTCAAGAATAAATGTAAAACTTTGCGATGCAGGAAAACAAATTGTAGTTCAAATATAAAACATAATTGTTTACATAGTCTCCAAACACAGAGCGTAAAAGCATTCATAGTAAATTTACATAATCAAATTATAAGATATTTGATTATGTAATTTTATATTATAACATTTTAATTTTATTTATTTTATATTTTAATTTTATAGCAGTTATTTTTAATTTGGAAGACCTTTCCTATCGATTCTTGTTTTCGATTACAATTCCCTACCAGAATGAGTTTTTAGAATCATGTTAAATGTAAATGAGTCAGAGGAAGTATTTAAGGGAAGGCAAATTATCAAAAGGCAAGTAATAATACGGCTTACGCTCAGTCGTATTATTACTTGCCTTTTAATTTTCGCCGGCTAGTTTAAATTAAGGGCCAACTACGTTAGATGCTTGTATTTAGCTTTAACTAAGTCTGCTTTAGTTAGTTATAAGTTATTTCTGAGTTAAAGCCCAAGTAGAGGCTTCTGTAAGTCCGAGAAGGGGCCGACTGTTATTATTATTTTGAGTGAAATAAAGGGTATTTTAATCCTTCTCGAGTCTACATTTTAGTTGTTTGAACTCAGCGATAAGTCGATAACCAGTTCACTAGGTTCCTCGACGTTCATCTTAGACAAAAAGAGTGAGGAATTCTACAAATTGATAGATAATCCTAAATTCTTATGGAACATATCAAATATCAAGAAACAAAGAACATCCCAAGAAAAGGCAGTTTGAGCAATGGGATTTATTGCAATCAGGATTTGAAATGAAAGAACAAAATTCAGAATGTAATTCAAGAGACAGTGCCTATATGAAGGACCATCCATCAATGGATTAAAAATTACAATCATTAGGAAATGTCTTTAAAAGCAAACGTGCAGATCCAGGCATGTTGGCACTATTTGTAATCCACAGCTCTAGAGTATCCCAGACACCATTTTCCAATTAAAATGGAGTGATTTCTGATCATACATAGACACTCAGAGTTATTTAAGCCAGTGCAGTTTATATTTGACATTAGTTGCAATTTATATGAATCCAGAGTTATCTAAATTTAAGACATTGCATTGGGTATGGTCGTTCGATAGAAGAGTTATTCTTTTTTTCCTATATTATCTCTTTTAATTTCCAGCTGTGGAGTTTTGTTAAGAAATGTAAGATTTTTCCTCAGCTTCCTTGTTTGCATAACTTAATTAAAGTCTCTTACAGAACTTTCAAAGAACGCAAGTTCCTTCGAGTAAGGTCTGATCTTCCACAGCTTAGATAGTTTGAAACTGATTATTTTAGGTATTGTCAGAAAGCACAGCAGCTGAAGACTTTGAATGTTGAAACATCTTTTTAAAATGTAGTTATGCAAATGTATATCCCCCTGTGTATATGTGTGAATCCAGCACTATGAAGTAGTTTATTTTATATAACAAACAATGGAATTATATGCTTTTAAATTTAACTAAACTAACCCCCCCCTTATATGCATAGTCATCATACTTTTGAGGACTTGAATATGAACACTTGAAATGTCTCCAGCGCTCCTATGATTATTTTGTCAGTCATTTCGTGAATTATGACGAAAACGAATTCTATGATAGAAGCTTTAATTTTAATGTGTTTAATGCTGTTTGGGTTGGAATTATTTTTATATACTTCTATCAGGCATAAACAAAAATGTTATGCAATTAAAATATTTTGCTCTGATAATAAGGAATGTCTAAGTTTATAATTAATTATGACTAATTTTGGCTAAGTTTTAAAATTCAGAGCAGGCTTTGGTACTTGTTTCTCATGCTTCTTGATTATTTTGCACGCAAAAGCTTATTTTTTAATAATGCACTTCTTACAACGTTCTACAACTCAAATACTACTCAAATATACATGTCGTTAAAAGTTTCCGTCATTTGCAACAGTAATACTGGCATTGGAGGGAGAATAACAAAATGCAGATCACATTCGATGTAAAAGATAGTCTACTAAAGACAGCTTTTTGCATATAACGAAGAAATTATAATACCATTCTTAATAGCATAAATCATAATAAACTGAAGTTTATTGGAACTTTTCCTTGGAAGATTTTTGTAAACTGTAAAATATGAAAAAACTGATCCACACTATGATAGAAGATGCAAATATAGCTCTGTTCAGGAGCATCGTAAGATGAGGTGCAATACCAAACCGCTGTATCTCTGTTGAAATTATCATATCCACTACGAAATAGGTAATGCATCTGAAGCATTCAGCTGCTGGTCCATAGTGGCTGTGAGAGAAAGAATAAAAAAAAATATTAGTACCTTATACAAAAGCATACAGGTATCTGACACAATTAATGTATAAAATTTGAAACGTTCTGTGTTATGTGATTTAGAATACAGCAGGTTCGTGGTTTTCCCCATGTGTAACGTATATACGAGCCAGTTTCCCTTAGAAAGTCCTCCCCGAAGGCATCCCTCCCTTAGGCAGATAGTCCTCGAAGCTTTGCTGTAATTAAATAACCTAACCTAACCTAGAATACAGTAGGTGTTCCTGCACTGCAATACACGAACACCAGTTGATGTAATTTTGCATGTAAATAGACAATAGAGAGAATTAGGAGTATATCAATAGGCAAATACTAAATTTTAGCCCCTATTCTTCAGTTCAAAAATTGTACAAACAATGCTACCAGAAACGTCGATGAAATTTTAGACAACAAGAGTAAATAAATGGCTAACGGACTTCATTTTTATCTCTTATGTACCCCGTTCAGAGTGGAGCTCGAGACTTTTTGGACTTAGAATCGTGTCATGCAAGCCTGTTATAAATAAGAAAGATAACATTCAAAGTTATATATAAAAGACAGTCCCGAGAATTAGGAAGAATTTTAGCAGTGTTTTATTTGCATCTGCTAAAGTATGAAAATAACAGCGCACTTAAAAAGTTTGTTATTATTAGAATTATATATATATAATTTTAATAATAACTGTAATATATACTTGTATATATATATATTTAATATACAGTTATCTGATAACTATATCCAATCTGCATCATTGATTATTTAGCAAGAAAGGTAGTTCTATACTACAAGCATAATAAGGAAGAGTAAAGTTCTTTGTAGGTTCGAGCAATGAAACTTGATTGGACATACTAAGATAATAAGAATCAGTGTGATTTCAAAACTTACATAACTAATTTCAAAGGTTTAAATATAGAACCTTCTTCTTCAGCTGCAAAACTGAAAATGCCGATGGAGAAGGCTGTGCTCACACTATAACAATAAATGAGAAAATTTGAGAAAGTTCCGTTAAGAAGAAACTCACTGGCATCATTTTTTGTTAAAAAATAAAAACAACTGTGAAATAACTTTCTTAAAAGGCGAGGGTAGAGATAAGGATTGAAATTTTGATTATTAACTAGAATTAAAAGATTTTTATGAAAAAAAGGTCTATAAATCTAGATCATCTAAGAAAATATAATTCTTCGACGAAAGATATTTTTTGGATAATTTTGCCTGCAGAAAATTAAAAATGGAATTTTTTTTTACCAGCAATATTGGGCAACACAGGATTTATGTGTTCCAGTTCTAGTTGATGATCTAAATTTCAGTGCTTCCGTCGGAGGCTAACATAATTAAGTGTAAAACAAAAGTTTTTAATTTTATATTAAATTTAATATTGCGTAGCTCAGTTATAAAAAATAGTTCTGATAATAGGGTTTCTTGCCCAAATGCTAACTGATCCATGTAGATTTCTGCCTTGTTATCGGTGTCAAAGTTAAAATATCACATTTATGAAATATTTTAATTTTGTCGTAAAAGTGTCTATTTAAAAATGTCTTACAAATAACTTATGGTGTCGCTTACATTTTTCTCTTCTGCATTACTATATATTATTTTCTGCGTGAAAAGGAAAAATGTAAACTAAAATTATAATGTTAAATAGGTGGAAATTAAAAATCATGTAATTCCAAATTTTGAAATTGAAATATATATATAGTACTCAATTAAAAATAGTCCAAAGTAAAATCAAAGATTATGTGTTTATAAAAATTTCTACGCTTAAAGTAGTAATAAAGCGCATTTTCTAAAGAAGGAAGAACATTTTATGTATTTTACAGAGTGTCAAAATAGAGAACAAAATTAAGTAGTAAAGCTGGTTTTTATCTATGTTGTACAACTATAAATTTAGAAGTTAAATTATGTAAGACGTTCGCTTCTGTAAGCGTGAGATAAAAACATTAAGACAGGCAGACATCAGTTTTTCCATCGATTGGAATTGGAGGTATACAGATTTAATGAGATGTGAATACGCAGTCATTGCATCTGGAAAATAAACTGCAGACTTTATATTATATTGTCACTTTACATATTTAAATTTAATAAACATAATTAGAAATATATTCTACCTGTTGTCGAGTAAAAAGCCCAATGATATGCAGGAATAAGAGATCAGTGAGGCTACTGCTGTTGTGGTAATCTTGGAGAGAAGCTAAAATTGAAATATATATATAGTACTCAAATTGTTTAATTAAATCCTTTACAATAAAATATACTCAATTACAATTACAATAAAATATACTCGTAACAGAGTTTTATTAATAAACAGAACGTACGCATCATAACTATTTTGACTCATTTTTCAAGTGTATATATGCTTATAATATTAAAGAAATCGTCAAAAAATTTCAAGTAGAATAAAAATGTTATGCTTCTTTACAGTGTCTAAGATTTTCATTTTCAAAGCTGCTCTTACGTAGTTTTGTAATTTATGGCATACATGGATAAAAAATTAATATTCTCTGTTCTTTTATGAAAGCAAGAAAAATTACGAATTTCCATGACGATAGGAGTCTAGTGTAGTGTTGCACTATCAGAAAATTTTATTGTAATTTTTTAATGAACTCTGGATTACAAAATTTATTTAGCAATTTATCATACGGACTGATTGAATGTTATTAACCTGAACAGTTGAATTTTTCTCACGCAAGGGAGCTCTACCTGCAGTTAGCCATCCTAATTGAGACGAAGCGGCAAAGAACTTCCCGTCTCGCAATGCAAATATCTGACCTTTTAAGTAGTGGAAGAACTTTATCCACATCAAGAAAAATATCAATGCTTCCTTTCTAAAAGGTTGGACCCGCTAAGGTAAGATCAGTGAACTGTTCGGAACAAGAAGGATCTAAATTAACGTGCGGAAGCTGACCCACTATATGAGGAGTAAACCTAATGTGAGAAACACTATTTGTACTGGTGTTTGATGCACCCAAACATGAAATTATTACATTTATTTTCATTTTTGACAAAATTTTTCTAGGCAATCGCTTGTTATTAAAGAGGCCTAACTTCCTGGATCCAAAAGAGCACTACAAGTAGAAATTTTACCAGCGGAATCCTTTACATACACTAGTATAGTAGCATAGTAGCACCTAGGTATCAGAGTTCAAATCCGAGCAACAAGAGAAGTAATGGAATTTGAAATAATTTGACAATTTGCGTTAAAGTCACTAGTTGTAGTTTTAGAATTGGAAGGTGCAAGCACTTTAGCGTCCACCGAAAGAACGTTTGAATTAACTGTATTGCCTTGTTGAAGAATCGATGTTTCAGTGGTGTCGTCAAAATGCGACTTCTGTGATGTCGTCGTGTGATGAGCTTTCTTACATTTGTGACATCTATAAGAACTCCCGCAGGTTGATTTAATGTGAAATTGTGTTAAAGAACTGAAGCAAATATTTTTAGATTTTCCAAAACTCTGTTTTGGACAGAGAGCTTGAGAAATGCATCACATTTAGTCAATACATGACTTCCATGGCAGTAAAAACACTGTGATTGAAAACCCGAAGTGACAAATGTAAACCCGCTTAGAAAAAGTATTTTTTGAACCTGGATTGTTAGTAATTAACGATATAGCATCTAACGTGTTTTGAAAGAAATTGCAATAATTCACTCAGGGAAGGAATTTTATCATCTGTAATTGACAGCTCCCACCAGCTTCTTGTAACTGGATCTAATTTAAACTGCAAAATAAACATCAGAATATGATCCGCTGCGCTTTCAATATTCAATTCCAAGGACTCTACATATCTCAAATATTCTTTACTTGAGTCAACTACTCGTATTTTCAGAATCTAAGCATGAGATTCACAAGTTAGAGAGGGCAAATTTAAGAAATTTTTATCTACTAAGACAGTATCTGACGTTTATGCAAATATCTTCTTGCAAGAAGATCCCAAGCAATTTTGAAATTACTGCCAGTAATAGAAAGCGACTTTACTATGTTTTGAGCATCTCCTTTTAAAATCCGTTTTAAGTACTGTAACTTCTGAGCCTCGGACAATCTTTCATTTTTTCCTACAGCTGAGTGAAATAAATCGGAAAATGTTAACCGTCAATCAATAGCATCAAAAAATGTAGGTAAGGACAAAAACAGGAAATTTAATTTCAATGGAATCAGATGCTTTCATCAGCACTGTTTGTGTTTCTACTACAGAATCAACTCTGCTTTCTTTACATCTTGAAATTGCTGTATTTAAATTAGCTAACATTTCATCACACATTTCAGTTACTCTTTCTCCGCGCAGTGCGTGACAATTTCTTCATCTTTACTACACAACCCAATTATTTTAACGAAAATATCATTTATTTCTTCTATCATAGAATTAAATCTATTTCTTCTAACATTTGAGATAACAAAATCCAAATGATTTATTTCACCTAAGATTTTGCTCTTTAAACTTGTGATTGAGGATTTAAGTGTCTTTTCTAAAGTCTTCTTAAAGTCACTCTCCATTATGAATAAGAAATACAATCAAGAACACAAAAAACAAAGAAATTCTACTTTTGAGTTCTTGCCATAAATGCTGATTTGTAAGCAAAAGGTGTTCATTCTGTTCAACTTCTTAAATAAAAGAGTTTTTTACACGCTCCTATTCTATTTCGTCTTAGACATAGCAATAAGTCGCTTACATATCTATCTATCTGAGGATTTGCCTGAAAGTTAAATTTAGTTCCAGGCATATTCTCTAGTCACGCGTTTTACAGTCGCTTACCATGTTGCCACGTAATTTGCGCACAACACTCTCTGCGTTGTTTTTGAGAACTGAAACTATTGCACAACACTTGTGCAGTAGTTTCAGCACAACACTATCTGCGTTGGTAATATAATACGCTTTTATGATAGTTACGCACTCCTACATTGTGTATTTAGCCATCGTGGCTATATCACTACTAACTAAAATACACTCATGTCCATAAATTAAGGATAATGCAAAATCAGGCAAAGGAAGAGTTAGAAGCAAAACAAATTTGACTTATTCGTAAAGCTTATTTATTAAACAAAAGGTAAACAAAGGTGTTTGATATTATTAAAAAAATAAGCGATTTTTTCTCCCTGGAGCAAATTACATAAAAAAAACTATTTACAAAAAACCAATATTACATGGTTGGTATGATTGTTAATACATTGTATGTCTCCCAGACGATGCAATACAATCCGTACAACGCCTAGGCATGCTGAGTATTAAATTATCGATCTGATCTTGGGGGATATTACACCACTCAAAACGCAATGCTCTCCAAAGTTCAGGTAAACATATAGGAGGAGTTTGACGGGCTGCAACTCGTCGGCCAAGTATGTCCCATACGTGCTCTACTGGATTCAAGTCAGGTGAGAATGCTGGCCAGTCCATACGGATGATAGCCTCCGATTGAAGGCATTCGCTTACGATGTTTGCACGGTGAGGACGGGCGTTGTCATCCATAAACACAAACTGTGCGCCCATGGCGCCCCGAAACAAACGTACATGTTGTTCCAGAATGACGTCCCGATAGATTTGGCTTGTCATGCTTACAATTTGAACATGCAGGTCAGGTCTGGAACCCAGAATAATTCCACCCCAAACGAGCACTCCTGCACCACCGTAACGGTGTCGTTCAATGATGTTTTCTTGGTGGTAACGGGTACCTGGAGCTCTCCATATGAAAGTCCGGCGAGAATCAGACTGCAAGCTAAACCTGGACTCGTCGGAAAACATCACACAAGCCCACTGTTGCGGTGTTCACAATGCATGCTCTCTACTCCAGGCTAACCGCAGGCGATAGTGAGTTGCAGTAAGTGGAACGCATCTGACAGGTCTACGAGCATATAGACCAATCTGCCCTAAGCGTCTCTACACGGTCTGCCTGGAAATTGTCGTACCAATGGCTGAAGAGAGCTGACGAGACAGGTCTGAGGCTGTGCTCCGCCTGTTTCTTTTGGCAGTAACTGCCAAATACCGGTACTCATTCGGCGTTGTAACTCTGGGGCGACCTGTGCTGTAACGTCTACTGACATTACCATCATCTTGGAATCGTTGTAAAGCCTGGAGATGACACTCTGGGCAATTCCAAGTTCGTCTGATACTTCCAGTTAGGTACGCCCACATTCCAGACAGCCGATAATTTTACCACGTAAAAAATCATCCAAATGCATCCTTTGTGTCATAACTATTCGGTTATTGCACTGAAATGCTTATAAAGCGCCTGCGAACAATTTTACTTCTTTGCCTGTATTCCTTATATATCACTTTCTTACACTCTCGTCATTGTGACGTAGCCATCGGTGTCATCTTTTTACTTCCTGAAATTTGCATATGATTCTTGAAGATGTGTGTAGTGATTTTTACAGGTGATATATTTATTTTAGAGTTCGATTTCCGCGTGACTCCGAATTATCCTTAATTTATAGACATGAGTGTAGATTGCTACAATACGTGCGTCAGAGAGCAGTTCCAACCCAACGGGGAAATAGTTGTGCAAAATTTAAATTCTGCTTTAATTTTGAAACACCGTACATTTGCACGTGTTTTTGATCGAGTGTACGCATGTTAGTGATTCAAACATTACTTCTTCACATTTATACAGTACGACCATACTGTAAGTATGGTCGTACTGTAAGTATGGACCATACTGTAAGTATCGAAATTCAAAGGCTTACACTGAAACAGGATTATTTTAAATAACGTGAATTTTTAAACAGGATTATTTTAAATAACGTAATTATTGGAAGATTATCATATTTTCTGCTTAAATTTATAAAAATCTCTTTATTCATCCACTGCATGGCAAAGGGGCAATATTTTTGCCAACAGATAAAATTTAAATACCTTCATCATCATCAGTTTTTAATATTTTTTGAGAAACTTCCTTTCACTTTCATGTTTTGCATTTTTTTAACATACAATGATATAAATACTTTGTCAAAAATGTAAAATAGTGTCATTTTTCTATACTTACTCCCACGTTCAAAACAAACATCAGGTAAGCATGTACAAGCAGACTGAAATGAATGAATGTATAGTATTTGCACCACAAAGGCATCTGAGGATCATATTTTTCAAAATGAGGAGCAGGCTAAAGAAATGAAATAAAGAAATTAATTTCCGATGTTAAATGAATATTTGATACAAGAACATAATACCAATGATTAACAAATAATATTGTAAAACTATGCAGGTCATATAAAGAGAATGCAAAAACAAAAGGTGCAGTACAATAATTTTCTGTTCAATAATTTTCAGACATCATACTAAAATAAATAATAAAAAGCTCTGTAAGATTATTATAATATATAAATATTAGTATCGATCAACTAAAGTACTTTCATAAAAAAAGTTAGTGAATATGTAACAAATGAGCTACGAAAAGTAATTTAACAGAAACTGCTATGTGTATAATAATCTGCGTAAACAAGATGGATGCTGTTTTCAGTCAGTTTTAGCAGTCACAAACTTTTCATTTCAAGAAATGAAATATTCTAAGAAGTACAAAAATATTTATTTGCTGCCCTTTTTTTATGCTGCATAAATGACGCTTTTCTTGTTTTGAAATATACAGTTAAGACGTCTTGCGACTTATACATCTTCTTTTCCTTAATACTCTTCCTATTATTATAAAAGAGCTAAGAAATAAAGTTTGGGCTCATTAACTGTCTTTACGATACTATATATTTCCAATGCGCTGTAAGAGGTTAGAGAGAAATTTCGTGCATTTTGCTTTACTATGATACTAGGGTTTCGAGCCATTCCCAAGTTTCCCGATAAGTCTTAATGACTGGATTTGCATATGCTAATAAAAAAAGACTATTTTCCATAAAAATTACAAATTTAGAAACTCTGTAACCGCGATAAAAATGCTAATCGTCCATCTTAAACTTGTAGGGTCAATAAGTTATATCAGTGCCAGAATGTGGAAAATGTGCAATGCCGCAGCCGCTATTCGAATTCCGGACCTCCCTAATACGCGCCGAACGTGCTTGCAATTACACCACCTAGGCATGCGAAAAGGAGGGAGAAAATCCTTTATAAACTTAAGAGTTCTTTATTTCTTTTCAAAACGTAAACCACTCATAAAACTGTAGTCAATATTCTAGAACTCAGTATAATACTACACAAAATAGTCATAAAACTCAGCATAATACTTTTTCGAATTTAATCTACAATAATAACAATGATGACATTTAATAAAAAAAGAGAGAACTTTATAAAAATGAGAAAGTAGTAAAAGTGAAAGCGAGAAACTAAAGTATCGAATTTAGATAGATACTGGAATATAAATATAGTGGAAGTAATACTTTTAGCGAAGTGCATAAATAAAAAGCCTTGCAGTTTTAGCATTATAATAATATAATGGAATAATCACAGCCTTTTCTAACTAATATTACTGAAAAAAGAATAAAATCTTTTTGGAATTCACGAGCTTGATAACTTCTGTGAAGATCAGCAGGAAACAAAAGCCTATAATTTGCATGGTTACTTCAATTTAAACCTGTTGTTCAATGAAACTTTTTTTATTTCTTCCCAGTAGAATTCCGTGATTTCCAATTGTTTTTATTTACGTCTCTTTTATTATAAATATTCGCTATGTTATTTTTATTATGCTTTATTTCACGATTTTTCAAAAATAAAAATTTAATCTCTTTAACACGTTATTTTATTTATTTATTTATTTATTTATTTATTTTCCGCACGACAGCAGAAGAGTTCATATTGCTTTCCTCTCTAGAATTTCCGTTTACTTCTAAAAATTATTTAACATTACTTCTTGATAAGATATTTACTTTCTCTTTTAAATAATTTTTGCCATATTTTGATTAACAAGAGAATAAATTCCCTCTGAAGATAGTTTTTAACGTATTTTTGAGTGTTTTCCGATTTTGAAGTATTTTCAAGATAAAATGGTCTGCACTGATGTTACAGGTATATGGAACATTTTAGAAACTATAGGGCGTAACAGATCTGAATAATATACTATTGGAAAACTTCAGATGCTCAAACTTGATATTATGTCCCTAGCTGAGGAGCCATCATCATGAGGACTGTCTTCAATGTAATATGACTGCAGTTCTTATCTTTAATAAGGTGCGGTTTAGATACGTATTTTGTTCGACATTTCAGTAAATTAATAGGTGGTTTAACTCATTTCCACGAAATTACAAAACAGAATGCTCATTATTGGAAGTGCTTTGTGACAGTTTTGACTCTATTAAAGTTAGTACAATCGATATCACTAAGTATCGTTTGTTTGTTTGTTTCACTAACTGTGTAATCAATGTCACTAATTATCTAAAATCCAGTTTTTTTCTATTTTTTATCTATTTATTTACATGCACATTTATAAGTCTAGATAATTTTATCTCCGAAAAAGGCAAAACAAAAGGTCTTTATTCAATAGCTGAGCTATTCAACAGTTTCTACTGCGCAGAATTCTATAGTTAGTGCTACAACATGAGTGATTCTTCAGTCCTCTTTGAACATATCTGACATCGACAAAACCCTCAGTTACCAATATGGATACTTCACATCCTTATCATGACACTATAGTTTAAATTTAAATTGTAATCATTATGTTTGAGCCTAGTGATCTGCATTTGGGCACACTTTTTACTTCCTTGTACGAAGTAAAAAGGAAGTATTGTACTCGCGAAAAGTTTCAGGCAGCATATTTCAACGAAAATATCCATTTTGACCGCTATCAAATGCAATTTAACGATGTTTTTGCGTGACATCTGTACGTAAGGACAGAATAAAATACTCTTTTCCTTCAAAAAAAAAAAAAAAAATATCAAACTGCTTTAAAATTAATTCTGAAGAGAATTTTTCGTGGCGTCTGTACGAACGTATGTACGTACGTGCGTGCGTACGTACGTATCTCGCATAACTCAAAAACGAGTAGCCCCAGAACGTTGAAATTTTGTATATAGGACTGCTATAACATGTAGATGTGCCCCTCGTATTTTGGTTGCAATCGGCCGCACCAAACGTATATAATATATATATTATATATATATCCACTCTGTTACCCGGCTCTGTGATCTCAGTTTCTTTACTCTTATATGTTTGTAAATTGTACATTTTTTTTGCTTTAAAAATGATTGTATTATGTTGTTTTTATCTGCCGCTTAAGGTTTTTATGCCTTTAGTAAATCTGTGTGCAATATTTTTTAGAATTATCAGCAATTTTAAAGTTGTCTAAGTGCCGCTAAGCCTTTTTTTAATGGCGGCCATTGATGTTTACATTTGAAACAGGAGACTAGTGGACTTGTTGCCAATCTAGAGAAACTTAGCTTCGCAACAACAAAGATAACGCTTTCATTTATTATTGCCAATTAAATCATGCTTAATTCTTTCTGGAATTTTTTGAGGAAATAAGTGTTTAAGATTTACTTCGTAATTTTTAATATAGATATTTTGAGTTTTTATGTATTTTTGCCTTCTCGCGAAGTGAGAACTGAATTAATTAAATGAGAAATACTCAATCGTCTGTGAAAAACTGTTTTCTTTTTTTGTTTTGTTTCTTAATTTCTTTTATACATCATTCTAGCTTTATTATAGTTTTTGAATAGAACATGTGGCAACGATTAGATAATTCTATTCTTTAAATGATATAAATTTTTGTGCATTCTGAGTTATAATATGAACGAAATATATAAGTTAACTGTTATATAATTATTGGATTATATAACAGTTTAACTTAGTTTCCGTTATATAATTATTATATAAGTTAACTGTTATATAATTATTAATATTGTTAAGTGAATCTAGCGCCAGAGTGTCGATATGGTAAACAAATACTAGAGTGAATTTTAAAGAATGCATTTATTCTATTGTGGTTTATGCGCTGTCGGCGAAGTAGATTTAATTCAATCCAATAAATTTAAATGAAATGCAAGAAAAAATGCGTATAATTTAATATTCCAATACAAGGAAGTCATGTGGTGCACACATCAGATTTTTTAGTTAAGATATTTCCGTTTCCTAATAAGCATACAGTCGATTATGAAATTGTATTATTTTAAGTTACTTTGGAAGATATGCCATCAAAAAACTTTTTTCTATTGCTTAGGGTCATTCGGAGGAAATTAATTAAATGGATTGAAAATAAATTATCAAGCTATTTTCAGACACTTAAAGTAGATTCGAAAGTTTAACTAAGGCTGAGGGTTAATTAAACTTGAGATGTGTTTTGCATGAAATTAAGCATAGATTTGATAAGATTTTAAATACAAATAAATTTCGATAAAATGCACCATCGGGACAGAAAGTTTTACGTAGTTCTAATTCAATGTGTCTTTTAAATTTAAAAAACGATTTTATAATAATATGATATCTGAATTTTTATAAGGCATCCTGTCAGTGCAATTAATTATATTAAGTAAAAGTTTCTAAAACATAAAATGCGAAAGGTTTAATACCCTTACAATAAAAATTAACCGAGATATTTCATTTCAAAGTTTGGGACTTTGCGGATTTCTCGCTACCAGAATTAATTTTTCTTATAGAGTGGGGTAAAAAATTAATTCGAATAATTCTAGGTTGCTTTTTTTCCTATTAATGTTATTCTTTGTCAGTTATAAAAGTGTAGTATTTTTTAATTTATAGTTTTGTTACATTTAATATGTCGGAAACATTTTCACAGAATTGTTTATAAATATTCAAATGCTGAAACTATCCGAATAATATTCAAATACAATTTTATTGTTTTAGGATCATAATCTCAGAATCTCATAAAAGTAAATTTACGGGTTGATTACTTGTCAATACTGAAGTCTCCCACTACTTTCTGGAACATGAATGCTATAAAACTCTATGAACAATATCCTTTTGAAAAAATTTGTATTGATCAAATCTTTTTAAGACAGTCTACATCAGGTTGTCCACTTAGCACAAATACTTCGTTCTAGTTTATGCGAAAAAAAATACTAGATCTGAAGAAAAAACGTTATACTATAAGGTATTTCTCCCGCCTTCTTGGCGTGCCTTCGTGGTGTGGTGCTCTGCACGCTGGGCGCGTATTCCAGAGGTCCGTCGTTCTATTCCCAGCGAAGGAGATTGCTCATTTTTCATCTTGCCTGCTTCCAAAAAAAAAAAAAAAAAAAAAAAAAAAAAAACATACCTAATGCCCTTACAGTAGCGCCCGAACTAAAAGGGTGTTGGATGATGATACTCCACACCCGGGATTTGGCGATTGGGTCCCCTAAAAACCCCAGTCGCCCTTTAAAAGGGGGGGCAAATAATAAGGTATTTCTAATATCTTCTTGGAATGCCTTCCTAGTGTGGTGGTCTGCACGCTGGGAGCGTATTCCAGTGGTCCCTGGTTCGATTCCCGGAGAGAGCGTTGCTCATTTTTCATATCTCCTGCTTCCAAAAAAAAAAAAAAAAAAAAAACCTAATGTCTACAATGCATTTGCTTTTGTTTAATTTTTTTTCTTGATGTTCCTACCGTATTACAGTAAACGAAATCAACATTAAGGCCAAATTAGCTCTCACTGTAGTAATTTATAACTAAGTTATTTAATTTATATATATTTTTACAGACAGATATTTGAATAATTTCATGTGCAGTTTACATATTTCGATTTTTTAATATGCTAATTTTATACATTTTAAAATTCGGGATAGCTATTTATTGTTTTTAGCATATTTAGCTAATATACTAATTAACATTTAAAAAGTAGTAAATCTGTGGTCGATGAAGGTGTTCAGTCATTAGGTTATTTTGAAGTAGAAGACGTGAAAAATGTGCAATACCCTCGTCGGTACTCGAATACGGGCCGAACCCCTTTTTAAAAGACAACTGGGGATTAGGAGACCCAATCGCCAAATCCTGGTGGTGACGAATTAATGTTTGTCGCTTTTTAGTTCGAGTGCCACAGTAGAGTCTTAAGGTAGGTTATTTTAGGTTAAATTTATCTTAAAGAATGTTACTTAGGGTTAATTTTTTAAAACCAAGAGTCTTAAAAACTGTGCAATGCCCTTTCCAGGACTCGAAATCTGGACCTCTCGAGTGCGCTACCGTTACACCACATAAAGACATGCTGGAAGAAGGGAGAAAACTTACTTACTCCCCCCTTTTAAAGAGCAATTGGAGGTGAGTGGACTCAATCGCTAAATCCTGGTGGTGACATCCACCACCTTTTTGTTCGGACGCCACTTTACTGTCATTAGGAATTTTGGATGCTGGAGATATGAAAAATGTGCAGTGCTCTCACCGAGATTGAAAGGAAGAAGAAAATATCTTATAGAAATTTTAATTTTGCAGGGGTGTCATCAAAACCAGTTATTTTTCAAGAGATTATGTAGTTGATTTCTTATTTTATTTTTATTCGCTGTCACTATTGGAAATAGTATTTTACAAAGGAATTCTTGACCTTCTTTTCTCAGAACTTCTACAGTCCTAAGAAGGGTCATCATAACTATTTTCTTCAATAAGATTTGGAAAATTCGAAACCTTTTACTCTAGTGCAGAAGAAACCTGATTTATATAGTATAAAGTTCAGCACTACAGTTCATTTTAATGCAGGATTGCTTAATTTAGTCGCTATAAAACTTGGTCAAGAACTCAACATAGATGGTTGGATATTTCACATCTAATGTGTCTTTCTGGAACTTAATGTTCTAATCTTATCTAAACTCATTTTTCTACTCTAACTCCTAAACATATTTTTTCCTTATATAAAAAAGGAACATTGTCGACGAGATTTATATTTCAATCATGCATTATCTGCAAGATGTTGTCATAAAATATTTTACAACCATTTTCATTTTATTTCATGATCTTCAAATTAAAAGCCGAAGGCGATATTCAATCAGAAGTAGTAATCTAATTTTAAGATTTACTGCTTTTAGTAGAGTGAACATCTAGAAAATGTGCCTTAATTAAAGTAGTTTGAAGAGCAGTTAAAACATACTTGGCTTGTTAAATGCCATCTTCTACTGCAGAAGTAAGGTATAGATTCAAATCTTTAAATCTGTTATGTTATTTTTATTGCTATTATCTGGAAAGAAAGAATCTACTAAATCGAATGATAAACGTACTAGAACATTAAAAAACCTATGAAAAGTACTATTCCATGAAAGTACTAACAGTGGTCACCATTGTCTGTTCGTTATTTGATCTGTTAACCTCAAAAACCTTTTTCTAAACTGATATTTAATTTTTGCACGGGAATAAATTTAAACATAGCTCTATTGCATTTGTGTACGACCCCTGAATTTTCAGGAAACATGGTCTCAATCTTTAAATATCTGGGTCAGTTTTGTTGTATAGGAGTCACATTTTTTGTGTTTGATGCTTTAAAATGAGTATAAACTTTTATTGAATATAACTACACAGACCGAGAAGACCGTTTAAAACGACAGATTTCTTAATTTTTATAAAATTTTCCTTTTTGGAATTTACAAATGTCGAAACATAACAATTTACCTTGTTTAAAGTATTTTTCTAATTTGAAGTATATTCTACGATCAATAGTTGTGAAAATGGAAACTGCGAAAGATTTATGCTATATCTCAGTGTAATACACAAGAAGATATATTAATAAATTAATGATATTGATTATAAAATCCGAAATTTTTGATGAAAAAATTTCAGCAGCTTACCTGAGGTATATCTTTTATATCACCACACCATGGTTTTCCAGGCGACCAACCTGGACCTTTGAATAATACAGATAGCTTATTGCTGATACCTTCATATTCCCAGAACTTTTTCCATATTGTTATGAAGTGACGAGTCTGTAAATGTTTAAATTAATTTGTAGGATTATTTGTTATTCTATATCACTGTATTAGTTTTCTTTATTTCATCAATCAGAATACTACAAAGCTAGTAAACATAATTACAGAAGGAAAGCTTAAAGGAATCATTTTCTCTTTTAAAAAAGAATTCTTTCATAGTTTTTTTAATTAATATGTTTAGAGGTAAGGTACAAAATTCTACTGCGACGGAGAACTGATCGTCTTTCCTTGGATATAACATTGCGATATGTCGAAATGAAATAAGTAGGGAATTGCTTCAAGTGTGAAGATGGGACAATTCACTTTAATATGAAAGTCTAAGGCCTTTTTCTGTTATCAAAAAATTATCTATAAATGGAAAATTCAGATATTTCATATATCTGGCGAATAATTTTCATTTTTATATGAACTTTTACTTGCGCAGGTCTTGCATATGTATGAAAATTCTTATTTTGACAAGACTACGCCAAGAATACTGTACAGGATGGCTAGAAAGTCTCTTTACGCGTGCAATTATTGCATTATAATTTTAATAACACTTGCAATTATTTATCCAAAATTTCTGTATTTGCACCATCATTATCCTTGCATAGCTTGATACGCCTGAATGCAATCCTACTTATCCGCATTAACAGCTGAGGTGTCAAACGCTGGAAGGTTTCAAGCGCACTTGCCAGCACAGCATCATTGTCCAAGTACCACTTTTTCCTGATTTACGATTTGATGTTCCTCCACAGGGCATTGTTTGGTGTCGTAAGGTCCGAACTTTGAAAGGATAACGAGCTGGTGAATTTGGGGTTTCACATCCTATCCAACGGCCAGGGAACAGTTCATTCAAGCGTTCGCGAACAGCAACTGCGAAGTAGGCGGGAGCTCCATTTGTGCCGGTAAACAACCGTATCATTGATGCCCAGATATTGAAGCTGTGGAAGAAGCCAGTCATTTAGCGTCTCCAAATAAGTAACCTGAGTACAGAATTCTCAAAAAAGTACAGACTACAAATGTGCTCTTCAGTCATCCCCCCCAAAACATGAGAAGGATTGTTTCAAATTTCTTGGTAAAAATGTAAGTTTTTTTTTGTCTGTATGAAGATGTTCCTATCCCACGAACTTCGATAAATAGCATGTTCCTCAGAAAAAAGAATGCTCTTCCGACAGTAATGATAGGAAAGGCCTCCAGCTGCATGCTTCCTGCCGGTGGTTTAAGACATCGTCCGTTAGTTCATTCATGGCCATCGGCCGGTATGCTTGCAGGTCTAAGTCCCTTTTCATATGGAGTTGCATTGTGCTTCTTTTAATTCCAAGTTCTGCAGCACGGTTTTCGGTGTACTTGCAGGGTGAATTCATCAGTGGAACATTAAATACAGCACACGTTTCTTTTCTGGTTAAGGACGACTAGAACGGGAGTGGGTCCGAAAACACTTCCCCAGCAAAAAGCTTTCTTCTGTCACTTGATCAAAGTCTGACGACTTGGTGGGTCTTTACCGAACTGTTCACGAAACGTATTCGTTATCTGTGTCATATTTCCACTGTCGTGCTTCCGTTCATGAACCACACACTTGTAACTTTGCGCCAAGGAAGTTAGAACAGAAGGAAGCAAGGTTCGCAATTTCTTCCACAATCTAAAAATGAAACCTACCTAAAAAGCTGTGGCATGTTTGTGAATTCCAAACATTGCCTTACGGCAATGACACATACTTCTTTCTAGAATTTCTATGCATGCATTTTCTAATAAATATATATTAAATTTATAATGGAATCCTTCGCTATTGGTAAACTTTTGTTTTAAAGTAATAAAGATGATATTTATAATATGTGTAGGAAATTATCAAGAAATGGTGCGAAATCTAAATGCATATGTATAACATAGACTGATATAACATGCCTTTAGACTGATGTTTCTGGCTATTTCAAGAATTTATTTAGTCTTATTAGCTAGCTGTTGGGTGTACTTTCCAATTTTCACTCTTTAAAACAGCTATTTCTATTATCGCAATTTATTAAAGATTCATGCCTTATAAAAATGTTTCAAGAATAGGAAAGAAACTTATTTTAGTATGCTTAATAGTTCAGCTTCTGGTTGTAATACACTAAAACAGAAAATCACATATTTGAAATAGCTCATTATCCAAGTTTTTGAAATAGCTCATTATCCGAGTTTTTGAAATAGCTCATTATCCGAGTTAATTGCATATTTATGAGCAGTTTCATATTTCTGAATCTCTATTAAAGAAATTGCCTTGAATTAAGCTGAATAACAGAAATATATTTATATACATTTTAGAGTACGTCTTTCCACGTATTCAATTATGGTAAATATTGTTATGTAGTGAATCTTTCCTCGGGTTGGAGCAGTCTCCTTGGCAGGAAATTCTGCTGCGACGGAAATTCGTACATCCATATGCAATATAACATCCCATACTTCAAAAATTAAAAAAAAAAAAAAAAAAAAGTTGCAACGAAAAGTCTCCTTACACGAGTCACAGTGTTTGAACAAATATGGCTACTGAGGATTTACTTTTTGAGTTGGACTCTCCCTCTTTCTATTTTAACCTCCTTGCTTTGCGCTTCTCCAAAATGAAGTCGCTGGAATCTGCCACTTCACTTTTTTTCACCAAGAATATAAAAGCTAGACAATAAACTGGTGAAAATAATGCACAGATTTTATTTTCTTCTCTGGGCAATCACATTAAAATTCAAGTGAGGAGCACTATTACCATATCAATAATCAGGATGGCAGATTCATATCTTAAATGTCTTACCATCTTACACTGCTACACGCATTTATTTCAGATGTAAAGTGTCTTTCTGGCCACACTGTTTATAGAATATACAGGTTTTTTTTTTTTTTTTTTTTAATTTTTTAATTTTCTCCCCTTTTTTTGTAAACAAAGTAAAATTAAAAAGATTAATATTTAATTTAATTTTATAACGTTTCTAATATTCTGTTGCTTTGTTTATAATATTACAAAATATTTTAGAATATGTAATGCTATTGTATGCATTTATAGCTAAATATATTTAATATTTTTAACAATAAATGCTCAAACTGATTTTGACATTTTTAGCCTTTTTTAATAAGCGTATCTAGGTAAAAATATAAATTTAGAATATTAGCATGGCAATATTTATAACTGACAAAATCCAATCCTTTGCTTGTCACTCATTTCCAATGAAATTGCTTAGTATTTCAAGATGAGATTTTAAGATCCTTCTCAGCAAATTATACGATTGTCTCCTTTTCTCAGAGAGAAGTTTTACTGCATTTTGCTCGAAATTTACTTTTCTCAGAAGTCAGTATCGAAAGCGTGTCTATTCTGACAATTATTAATGTTCTAGCTGGTAGTAAATTTTTACTCTCAGGGACTCTTCGAGATACAAGAATATTTCTCTAAGATATTCGAAAACCCTTTTACTACAATTACAGAACATTTTAGGTTTAAATTTCACTTTCTACCAGTAAATTTGTGTATGTACTGACGTCCTCTTCGTTTTGGACAATGCGGTCTTCTTTTCGGATTTAAATTCTTGTTTTGATGAAAGCCATGAAATAGTTAGTTCTCTTGGACTTTCGAGACTTGTTCATGCGTAATTATATTAAACGGTTTTATCTATTGAATACATTTGAATGGCGAACAAGATATTTCTTTCCACACTGAACAGAGTGTACTACCTCTGGATTCATGTAGGCGTTAAGACATGTGTTTTCCTGCATCAGTAATGGAGGTCAATTAATAGATTATATTACACCTTGCTCTTTTAAATGAGAGCAGCTGTTGCCCTATGCCATAAATTGCATCAACATAAATGAATTTCAAAATTTATAATTTCTTTGGCCGTTCCAGGATACGATGTCTATTTAAAAACCGAATCTGAGATTTTTCCTTAGAATACCTGTAAATTTATATATATATTTTTTTAATTTATGGTTTTATATTTATTCATTAATTTTTGAAACGTAATCTCGAGTTTCATCATTTCTGCATTGTGACGATTTGGTTTGGCAGTCCCACCTTTTTTTGCACACCAAGTTCGTATTTACTTTCAAATGGCTAGTAACATATATTAACTGTAAAACGAATATATTAGTTGCATTGGTAAATAATTTTACGCTAAAACGTGAATCTTATTTATAAAGTATCAAATAAATTCTGGTTATAATTAGTAGTGATTCCGAACTATGATTACTAAGAGCTAAGAAGTGACGCTACCACATATTCTTCCAGAAAACCTTTTGACTTACTTGTACAACTAGGGGATTGAATGACTGCATTTGAGTTGTAACTCCATACAGTGGTCTCTCCTGCTCATCTTCCTCTTCGAATGTTCCAAAAAGGCGATCCCAAATTATGAGAAACCCACCAAAATTCTTGTCGATGTAACGCCTGTTACGTCCTGAGAGCCCGGTATGAAAAAGGAAATTGATATTAAGAAGCAACGCAATGTATTGATTAAAAAAATCTTACAATTGATAACGGATCCAGAAAAATTACAATGTATCAAAGCCTTAAGGAAATAAATGGTTTAACGCCCAAAAGATTCTTGGGAAATAAAATATACATTTATTGATTTTGTGTTTTTTATTGGTTTCGTATTTCTGATTAATTTTTCTGATATGGACAATGAGAAGAAAGATGCCTGTAATTGAATTTTACGCTTCTTTTTTGTGTGTGTCCTGTTACTTATTTACAGAATTCTAATCATAACCTAATGCTAATATTTACAGATTAAATGGCTATAAGTTTCGGATGACGGGGAGTCTTTTGCGCTGATCCAAAAATGTTGCTACTTAATTTAATGGGGATTAATTGTTTTTTCTTCATAATTTATAAAGTCTAACATAACAAATAACGAACCAGTTAGACATGTTACAACCTGCTCCATGAAAGCATGCATAGAAAAAAAAGCATGTATAGAAAATTAAAACAAAATGCACAGTTCTAAGGGAAATTAAATATGATTACAACAAGACAAAAAATGAAACCACACGCTTCGTTCAACAGGAAATTTTAAAATGAAAACAGTGGCAAGTCAAATTTTATGAGAAAAATAGAGAACAACCCATAACATAGCACATTTAATTTTTAGAAGGCATTTTTCGCTCCTGAAATCTTATGCTAAAAGACTTTTGTATGTTAGGGGGTGTTAAGAAAAAGTTGCACTTATATAATAAAGGTGCAGCTGATTCACCCAAATAAAGCATCGGATGCTACCGGATGTGTTGGTAGTTTATTGTACCAAGTTGGCATAAAATCGAACAGATAGATAAAGAATATTTAGGCAAAATCCTTAAACCAGTTTCCATGACGTAGCAAAGGAATTTCAGCTAATGCATGTTGTGATGGCAAAGCCTTCGTCTCAGCACTTCTTTAGGTTTGCTAATGTAAACTCTAAGCAAGCACCGCTTCATACATATTCTGCTAGTGCTCTCTGGAATGTTTATTATGACAAAGTTTTGAAAAAATGACAAAGAATGTTTATTATGAAAGAGCTGCAGCTGAGATTAAAGGGAGACAAACAATAACAAATCAACTTCAATATGTTAGTTCCATTGAATTTGTATGCCAGAAAACGATGTATACTGTGAAATGGCAGAACCTTTGCGAACAAATTAGTATCAATAATATTTCTCTTAAATCATTAGCATTATTCATAATGAAAAATTCTTCTTAACGCCTTCCCAGAAATTAATGGAAACCGTAATCCTCCTTCCCCCCCCTAAAAAAGGACTAATGAAAATGAGACAGCCGGTCATATATAGCATAAAGAATAAAGAAGTATTATGAAGGTGATACGGTGTTTTAAAACGACGCTCCAAGATCTGTTTCAAAGCTAACAATCGTAATCTAAAGTTAAAAATCACAATTTTTTTTGAAAATGCATTTCTAGCTTTTCTAGTAATTTGATGCTCTTTCTGCAATCTGTTTCTTTAAAATAAGCATTTCAAGATCGTAGTAACCCTTCATTCGTAATGTGTACCCTCTTTACTGCACAAAGGAAATTAAGAGATTTTAGCTAATTAGAGGATTTTTTCTCTCAGCAGTCATGGCCATTTTTCTGTCTCGTGGTTTAATAAACGGCTTTAACGTACCTTTTCTAAAGTAACAGGTCATTGTTGTTCTCCTGAGGCAAATGCCTTACTTGATGTTTGCCATGGCTCTGTCACATGCAATTTAAAAGTAAAAATCTATTATGGTATAATAATTATCTTGTAGTAATGTATAAAAGTATTAAAGGTAATATCAGCTTCGCCTTTAGGTAGCACCTTGGAAGACAAAAGTCAATTACTGGCATGATTTACCTGCGAAAAATATGGTCTAAATATTATCATTGATTTTAGTCTCTAGAACTTTTAATTTTAATTACTGCCTTCTTTTTACTTTGTAAGGATCCTAAGTTTTACTAACGTTTATTTTATTTTAAATCTTTACTATCACTTCTTATTTTCTACTTCCGGCCAGAATTAAAAGCTTTAACTTATTCATGCAAATTTGTCTTGCGAACGCCAAGTACTTAAGTTGTGGCTTTTTGCCAAGCAAGAGAGAGGAAGGAGTTACTAGAAGCAGGCCGCTTGCCATAGTAGTTTTACTCGGTTGCTGGTTGCCTTCAAGGCCAGAGGTTTAATCCTCTTGATAATTTTAAACGTATCGTAGTGTTAGCAGTTCTCTGTACTACATACGGCTTTTTGTTAATATACGGCCAATCTTGGAGTTAGGTACTTGTTTGATTAATCCAAAGTTAGTTTAGTTAGAGTTAGTTAGTTAGTTATTTTTTATATTCTTACATTCAGACCACAAGTGGTTGGTCTCTGTATTCCGAAGTCCGGAAATCATTGTAAAGAGAGAAAAATAAAGGGTTTCGTATACCCTTCCTGTGTGTATTGTCTACTTCCCAAATTTATTGAACATAGCTTTAGTAAGCTCCCTGTTCCGAGTCAGGACAGTTAATGTTCCCTAAGCAAGTAAGGAGGAACACAGAACCTGATAACTTCACATGTGTCTCAGAATATATAAACGAATTCACTCTCGTTTATTCTTGATGAGTCCAGTAATGTTAATCCAGAAGGAACAAAACACCTTTACTTATATTTTTACTACGTTGTCCATTTTTTTTTTAAATACTTACTTTGAGGAGTGTGAAACAGAGGAAAACTAAGGTATCACAATGCATAAACTTGAACGTGCAATTATATATATGTAGATATTAGACATATTCATATTAATCTCAATTGAAAAGAATCTGAGTTTTGAGGTTAATAATCAGATACAATATTTTTTTATTAAAAATGACTTTATTCTGTTTGCGCATCGTTTTTATTTATTTTATTTATTTATTTATTTTTAATCCATTAAGTTTATTCGTTTAGATATGTAGAATACATAAGGGCTTAGAAGCAATGATGCCTTTTTAGAGGATTTTCTAAGGGAAACTAGTTATAATTACATTGGGAAGACCATAAAAACATCTATGCAGCCAGTTTTTTACTCGGGGAATCGTATCATTAAGAAGATAAGCGTAAAAACTAAAACAACGCGAAAATGAAATGTCTCGAAATTTAATCCATAAAAAGAAATAGGGAGTGAAAAATGGGGCTGAATAAGTTTAATTAATCGACTTTGCAATAATGGATTAATAAACATTTATAACACATAAGAGAAACTTTTCTCAAAGCCTAAATTTCTTAACCAATTAGCTAGCTTTGGACTGTACTTTATGCTAATTTTATTATCCCTTTTCCATGAGCTTATAAAAGATTAAAACTAATTAAATGGATGATATTGAAGTGATAAAATGAATTAGCGAATTTCTCAGAAAAAGTTTTCTATGGAATATTGAATTCTTCGAGCCATACATACCATGGTGAGCCCGATGATGGCTGGGTGTGCAAAGAACGAATTCAACAACAGCAGGCAATTTACCGATGATCTGTAAACATAATTTTTGCATCAAAAATTTTCAAATTGATAAAAAGAATGATAATATAAGCACTTAAATTACTTGCCTCCGTGTGTAGCCAATACTGGTAAATAATGCTTATCTGGTAATGTACTAGGTAGGTTGTCGGTGGAATGGCAAATGCCATTGGCAGGTACGTCAGCTGAAAATGTAAATTATCTTTTCATTTATGTGCACTATCTTAAATATATTCACTCTTTTCTTTATAATTATAACTTAGTGGTTAAATATTTTTTAAACAATAGATCATTTAATCTTCGCTACCACTTGCTAACAAAGGAAGACTTAATTATATAAAAGCTACTGAAATTTATAAATAATCGGAGATATTTAACTTTTGTTTGAAGTTGGTTTCAAAGAAAAAGGGACAATGGGCAACAGGAAGCTGATGCTGAATGCTTTAGGCTATTCAGCCTCCAATGCAGAAAATTTGACTAAAATATCAATTTTTAATTCTGAACAGAGGTAGCATTATTCGTGAATCAATAAAAGAAGACGTATATCTTATGAATGAAGGGGGAAATTGTAATGTGTATATGTGACTGTTAGCATATACTGCTTAGAAAAATATCTGAAGTGGCATCGCTTGACACAGCTTAGTTAGTGTTTTAATAGAAAAAGAGTTACAACACATTTTAGACTTTCGGTGCCATACACAAAGGCGCATTTTGAACAAAGAAATCTTTTTTTTTTATTTAAATATCAGAGCAAAATTTTCTTATGCCCCAGCTTATTTCTCGTCCTCTTAGCCTTCTGTTTTTTGTTATCCGCTGATATGTGCGAGGTTGATGTTTTCATGTAATACTAGCTCTAAAAATCGACATGATGGCCAATCACGACAGATATAAAATCAAGTCTTATATTACAGCATCAAAAAATGTTCAGAGTGCAAACTGCTCGTGTTGCTATTACTTCGAAGGTGACGGGGCCACATTTCTCAATATTTCAAACTCATAAGCACTTGAACACTTGTACAGTTGCGCGCCTCCAACCTGCACGCAACAAAGTGGTGACTGCTGAAACTGGAAATTAGACAGAGTCTTGAGAAGGGTTTAAGTCCCTTTTTATTCAACTTTAGAAACTACAATTGCGTGCTCTTGACGCTCACAAACTACGCCGACTCGGCGGTAAAATAAAAATAAGAAATTAAAAGCGATACTAACAAGTCACTAACTACGAGGCTCTCTAAACGTAACTAACCTCACCTCGTTTTACAATACCGCTTATAATTCAGCAAACTCTGAATACCACGTTGAAAGATTAACAATTTGCCGAGGCAAACCCACTGGCCGAAAGGCGTGGTTCTTCAATTTCTGACTAACTACCTCCGCGCTCGTGAAGTAAGAAAAGCACACTTCGAACTCGTTTCCTTTCTATTTAACTCAGAATACTTCAGCTGATAATTTGAATCCTTGCGCGTTCTACTAAAATTTACATACTCTGGCATTGGCAGTTCCAGGGGAAAGTAAGGCTTGACAGAAAAGATAGTTTAAACTTAAAATGAATGTTAAAATAAATATAAACCCTACACACTTTTCGCAAAACCTTTGAGCATAATTATTTGAGGTTTATTATCCGTACTTGTGCATTCAGAAAGGTTGTATACTACTACTTATATTTGGCATTACTAATTTTTTATAATTTTTTCTCCCTTTCTATGTTTTAATTGAAAGAGTGGTTAGTTGAGATAATGTATCTATTTTCTTAAACGAATTTATAATTCTTATCGAATTTTCGGATTTTCAGTTTGGCTATTTTCTGGTTGCTAAGATAAAGAAAAATAAGCTATGATTTTTATGTGATATTTATAAGGAAAAATTGCCCACTTAAAATTTAATTATATTATAAATAATAAATTAAATTTTAAAATATAAAATACTTCTCGTACTTACCCAGTGTATAGGCAAAAGAAATATATGATTCCTCATGGGTGATGTAAACATCATATCTTCTGGTGTATGATGGGTCTCATGAATAGCCCACAGAATATTGATTTCTGTAAGTCAATAAAACTTATCATTCTAAAACGTATTTGGTATTAAAATTCCATGTATGATAAAAAAAACATAATATTTTATGACGAACTGTAAGCTTATTTTAGTAACTTAAGCTTATTAGTAAGCTTATTTTTAAGCAGAATTCTAAGCTTATTTTAATGTATTTGAAATATACTGATCTGAGTTTTCTTCTGAAGTATTCTTTTGAAGAAAGATAGCTAGTTTGAAATAGCTTTTGAAATGAAGTTGTAGAAGAAGTGAAGTCTTAAAGCTATTATACAAGTCTATTTAAGCTTTTGTGAATACTTTCGTTTCGAGACTATTTTTGATGTACAATATTTATAAATCATTTTCTACGAATTGCGAGTTCATATTTTTCATTTTACGTGTACCGTCAGAAGTTCTACTAAATAAGCCTGCTTAAATTTACATTTCGCATTCCTTCTCTTCCTCACCCCATCAGTGACCGAGTGGTTTAGACCGCTAAATGCTGATAGTTCGACCTAGTTTGGAGTCGACCCCAAGTAAAAGGGCTGGCTGCATGGCTGGCGTTGGAGATCGCTACTCTGTGCACTTTTTTAAGAAAGTAAAGTATTGTCTATTCAAAATAGGCAACGAGACTACAAATTCTAAAGATGGACGGTACTTGTGTTTTATTCTTCTAGTAGCTTCATTTATCACTTGTTTTGTAGCTTGAATTCTTATAAAATAAATTAGTTTTCTTGCTACTAGTAACATTGCATTCCTCTTAATTTGCAACAGTTGATTTTTGTAGTTTCCGCCATGTGTAACGTTAATACGAGCTAGTTTTCCTGAGAAGTTCTCCATGAAGGCATCTTTCCTCTTAGAAAAATAATCCTCGTGGCGTTGTCGTATTCAAATAATTTAACCTAACCTTCTCTTCTTATTCCTCAACAGCATTTATATTTTTCATTTTCTTTCAGTTTCTCAGCCAAGAATTTATGAGAGATGACTGAAAAGTACCTTCTCTGTGCGGTTTCCTTATGACGAAAACGTAAAAAAAGGAAGAGGCTTTTGTTCAAAAAAATGCCGTGGGTAGAAGTACTGATACAGTACTGATATTTTACTTTTATTTAACACAGAAATCTTTGTTTTAGTTTTAAAATAAATATTTAAAAGACAATTGGTCTTATTATTCCTCCATCTCAAAAGTTGCTTACGTCACAGTGCCCTCTCCAGGAGTCGATTCACCAACTTTCTAATTACTAGGAGGAAGCTCCAACTATTTACATCTCAACAGCACACCCAGAGAAATAGGCTAATTTATATTATATTTTCTCTAGTTAAGGTCGACCGGAGAGAGGCACAAAACCTTATCGACCAAATTCAAATGATGAAAAATTAAAGTTCATCATATTTTAGTTCAGATGTCGTAGCACAGAAAATGGCTGGAAAAACAGCATATACGGGGGGCGGAGTAATTAGGTTCATTTTGCGAGCAAAATATGAAAAATCAGGTATTTAAATATTCGCAGGTATTCAAATTCCATATATACATCACGAAGATATGCGATAAGGAGGAAGAGAATTCCTTACAGTCTCCCCCACCTAGACAGCAACTGAGAAGAATGTTACCCAGTCGCCAAAGCCAGGAAATGATAAACTATCGTCCAATATTTCGATCGCTAATTATAGAGTAATTTTAGAATTTTTCGAAAGCGGAAAACATGAAAAATCAGCGATGACTTCGTGGAATTTAAGCTCCGGACGCCTCGATCGCTAGCCGCATTTGCTTCCAGTTACAGCACGAGAACATATCTTAAAGAAGAAGAGAATTCCTACCAAATTTTTGTATACTTAGTATTTGGTACGTTGCGGAAATATTATACATTTAGTGGAAGATCAATAACAATGATAATCTGCAGGCTCAGGTATTAAACATATGCAATGCTGACCCCACAATTTATTTTATTTACTAGTTTAGCAGATGATTTACAGTACGCAAAAATCCACCCAACGGAAATCTAATTTAACCATGTCATCTGAATTCGATATCAGACATATTTAGAAAAAAGATCATTAATTAAAGCTAGCTTATTTTTGACTCCCAAGATTAAAAGCAAAGAATAACTCTTACAGACTTAACAAGCTTCATTATCTACTTATTATTAATAAATGATTTTATATTCATTTATTATTAATTCTATTGTAGAAAAATAGAAATTTTCATTGGTAAAATAGAATTAGGAAATATTTTTAATTTTTTTAAACATATCTTTTCTAAATAAAAGTGTTTAAACTAACATGTAATTAAAACCTATTTAGCGAAATTACAGCATTAATAGTTTCAGAATCTTCATATAATGTTGTAATTCGAGTTTGGTGAATCCATTGCTCATTTTTCATGTCTTCTGCTTCAAATAGCCTATTGACTTTACAGTGGCGCCCGAACTAAAAATGGCGGTGGATGATGATTCATCACCACCAGGATTTGGCGATTGGGTCCCCTAAACTCCAGTCGCCCATTAAATGGAGAAGTATATAAGGTATTTCTCCCACCTTCTTAGCATGCCTTCGTGGTGTAATGGTCAGCCCGCTCGGCGCGTATTCGAAAGGTCCATGATTAGAGTCGCGGCGAGGGCATTGCTTATTTTTCAAGTCTCCTGCTTAAAAATAACTTGATGATTCTACAATATTATTCTGAAATTTAGTGGAAAAAATTTTACAACTTAGTGAAACATTGATTAGCATCCATGTAAAAAGTAGTGAAGCTTACGATGTATCATTCTGTGCATCCAGTAATAGCCAAAATCTGTAAGAAACCAACAGAGAATCCACGTCCACGGGGAATCCCAAGGTAGTTCAATGAGTCTGTAGTTTTTGTAGATCCAAGCGTACACCCAAACTTCAGCTCCTTTGAATGGAATTCTGTAAGTAATAGTTTTAGGATTATTAATCGTATTTCGTTAATTTGTGAGAATATATTAACTTGATGTAAAAACTTACTAAGTGTTAATTGAGTAGGCAAGAGAAAAATCTGAATTATAGCAGATATATCAGAAATAGAACAGGAAAGGAAAGAAACTGCAAGTAAAAATGAAAGTGAGAAAAATCCTTTAATTACAATGCATTCACTGCTCTTGTCGAGGACACATTATATACGTTCTATTCCAACAGACAAGAGCTGTATGATTAATCGAGATACCCCACTTATTTTATGACTCTTTCTTTAAGCACTTAATACGTGCTAATTATTCCTGTTGAGCTTATATTTTAGATAACCCTGCGCTACATCGGAAGATCGTAAGAACGAAAAGCAAAAGATAACGCGATTGTCGAAAGGATTTTAAAGTAGTTTTTCACGTTCATAGCTACATTGAGCGCAAATCATTCTGTATCCAAAATGCGATCGGACATTAAATTTGTTGTTCATTTTTTCCAGTTCCACTGTGCCGTATAAAGCGTACGTACCAAAAACAGTTTCGATGGTTGATTCTGTAATAATTCGTCAAGACTTTTCTAGAGCTAGCATTCCATCTAGAAGTGAAATGTTATAATCGAACAAGTTGCGGTGCTATTCCAAAAATGCTAAAATGAGCTGCTCGCTGTAATGGCACTTCAAGCTCCAGATCACGCTTTAGTCCATAGGATGCAGCTCAAAGTTGCATTCGGGGTGAGAGCAAGAAAATAATATATCCCTAATCCCCCGACATCTGCATCTGCAGCAAGTTGTTAATCAGAGAAGAAATTTCGCAAGAGCAGAATTTTTCGCTTTTTTGGCCGAAAGTTTAATCTACTGAAAATTGTTACCTTACCGTTAATTAAATTCGTAATTCTCTTCGAACAGTTAAGACATCATCGATGCATTACAATTACCATTTTCCCATTTTTAAAGTATCTTGACTTCCAATCACTAAAAGCCTATAAAGCTCAATGCCGTTAATACTGACTCCTCGCATGAATTGTTATTAGCACTTCTGAAAACTTTCCGCCAGCGCATCTTTGGTATATTAAAACTTTGACGTTTGGTTGCGCATCATCTTATAGAAAAGCTAAGCCTATCACTTCTGTCGTTACTGAAACTAACTTAAAAAATGCTAGTTTCAAATTAGTGAGGAAAATTTTAAACGAGTTGAAGATTTCTCTTTTCTTCTTTTCTTCAAAAGAAATCATACCCAACAATTCTTCTTAAACATATAATCTTTGCAAAACGAGTAAAAATAACCTGTTGTGCTATGTTACTTATACCAGTCGATTCATAAAATTGAAGGAGAAAATAAGAACATTTATTAATGTCGTTTCATAATTGTTCGCTGACATTTTCACTTATTTTTTTTTCAGTCTACCGTATTACAGTATTTCGAAAGAAATGTTGATTTTCATTTGCAGCAATAATTTCAAATTTGCTCTTAAAAATCGTTCAAAGTGAATCCGACATTTCTAAGACAGTTTCTTTTATAAGTTCCACGTCAGGAAGTGTTTTACAATTTTTTAACACGGCTTACTTTCAATAATGCGCTAGACAATGCGTGTGATTTCAGCATGGGGTTTTCAAAAATATTTTGTTGAGCTCTTTCTTAATTGAGTCTTTAGATTTCTAATTTTTTTTCCAGGCCACTATTTTTAGGATAATGTGTTTGATATTTATTATGTAAAGTTAAAAAATATCTCTCCAGATTATCCTTTCAGTAACGGCTGAGAAGACCTTTCATATTAAGGAACAACATTTATCAATCAAAATTGCAAAAAAGTAATCAAATGCTAATGAATTTTCTTCTGCTATTCATTTTAATGGGTACTAATACGCAAAAGAATCGTATAAGAAGACAAATTTTAATTTAAAACATTAAAAAGAAGACACTTACGACGGGGTGGATAGCAAACTATTTTTGGTTGATCAACAGACGATAGGAGATAATTTCAACATGCAAGGGCCGATCGCAAAAGGATTTTCTGTGCATCACAGCAGGCAGGAGACGATTTCAATACGCACCGGCATCTTAGTGGTAATTCATACATACGGGACTCCTTTACTGTTACCGTAGTAGCATTTTTTTGTGTTGCCAAACAGTGCAAATTCTTCTTAATGCTACTGTTGTGCAAAAATTTAAGTGTAAGAAGCATTCTTAAATTTTACGTAACAAGTATCAAACATATTAGCCACCAAATAGTGACCTGAGGAAAAATGTAATTAGGGATCTTAAGGCTCATGTAAGAAAGGGTTCAAAAATACTTTTGAAAAACCTCATGGTGAAATCCCGAGCATTGTCTAATGCATAATTCAAAGTCAGCCTTACTTAAAATAAATTTTAAATTACACCACTTCCTGACGGAAATTTATAATGGAAACTTTCTTGGAATAACAAATTCATTTTTTAATGATACTAAGAAAAGTTTAAAATTATTGCTACAATTGATGATGCAATTCTTCTCGAAATACTGTAAATGGCGGATTAAAACACTAAGAGAACAGTTATATAACGATTAATAAATATTCTTGTTTTCTCTTTGAATTTGATGAATCATGGATGTAAGTGACTTAGAACAATTGCTTACCTTTCTCCTACAATTTTTAAAGACTATACATTTAAAAGAGAATGGTTCTATATGATTTCTTTGAACGAAAAGACTAGAGACGTAGCTACCTTCAACTATTTAAAAATCTTTCACAGTAATTTGGAACTACCACTTTTTAAGTTAGTTTGAACAACAACAGAGAGAACAGAAGCCATGATAGCCTCCATACATAAATTTAGAAATTTATGCCAAAATAATGAATCTCGAAGTTTTGTGTGTTATTACCACATATTTTACTAACGAGTATTAGCCAGGAAAAGAAATAATAGACGTCAAAATTGTTAATTCAATTCAGGGAAGTTCCTTCAAACAGTGTCTGTTCCAACTGCAACTTGATGAAAGACAGTCGTAAATATTATTACATACCATGTAAGGTGACTAAGTGGAAATACACTGGTGTGCAAAACTTAAGCAACAATGTAAATTTATTCAGATAGCCATGAAATTGTTAAAAAGGGGTTCTTGCGTTCAGTAAAATGAACACGCAATTCAGTAAAAAGGACATGCGTATGCAAATGTCAAGAAAAAAATGTCACAGGCTACGTGAGCGTACGCAAAACGCGTACAGTCGGGGCGCTCAACTCGAGATTACCATAAAAGGAAGGATGGAGATGCAATTAAAGACATTCGCTGCAAGTACAAGGAGTTCTTTCGTGAAATATGGCTAGAAGAAATGATCTGGATGACTTCACACGTGGAAGAATGATCGAAAATCTGGAGTAGGGCGAAGTGTGACCAGTATAGCTGAAGAGTTCGGAATCAACAAAAGTGGCGTTTCGCGCGTTTAGAAAGCCTTCCAAACCATAGGTACAGCTATTAGAAAGGTTGGTGGTGGCCTTCCCAGGAAAACAACTGCAGCAAATAACCGATATATAGTCCTTGCAGACGAAAAGAGCCCGAAACCAGTCAGCAAGCGCCACAGCTCAACAACTGTGAACAGCAACGGGCGACAATTGTCGTGGTTTACTGTGTCCAAACACCTTCACAAAGGTGGCCTATGCGCCTGCCGTCCTGAACGCTGCATCCCTTTGAAAGTTGGCCATCGGCATCACCGTTTACAGTGGTTCAAGGAGCGCAAAAATGGACATCTCATCAATGGAGTCGTATCCTCCTTACGGATGAAAATCGCTTTAGTGCCACAAGAGATTCTCAACACAAATTGATTTGGAGAGAGGTCAGGACACGGTTTAATCTCAGTAACATTACGGAAAGAGACCTTTACAGTGTCTTGAAGATCTCGTCTGGCATTATGCTGAACGAGAGGACAGAGCTCCACGTTTTCGACAGAAGTTCTGTAATCGGAGATCGCTATCGTCAGGAGGTGATCTTTTCCCCATGTGCGTCTGTTCCGAGGTGCCATTGGAGCAGACTTCGTTTTTATGGATGACAATGCACGCCACACCGGACTCTTGCTGTTCAGAAGCTTCTGAAAATTGAAGATATCACACGATGAATTGGCCAGCGTGCTCCCTTGATTTAAACCTCATAGAACATGTGTGGGATGCTTTAGAGAGACGCTTGTGACACGATTACATCCTCCGGGGAACACCCAGCAACTGAAACAGATGTTGATTGAGTAATGGGCACTCTTCAAGATCTGTTGGACAATCTGATGCTGAGTATGGAGAGACCGTTCGAAGCAACCATTGCAGTAAGGGGAGGGCATATATCCCATACTAAGGAACACCTGCTTGTTGTTCTTCCTCTTGTACAGAAAATCATGTATAACGATACTATGAGTTCAATAAAGCCTGTTTTTGTTTGATTCCATACTGTATGCATTCTATTCATTTTTAGAGCAATTATGCTTTCGTCATCGTTTAAATACAAAATGCTGTCTCTTAATTCTGAATTTCATGTCTCTCAGATGATTTCTCGTGGAGTTATTTATGCCAAAAAGAACACCTGTTGCTTAAGTTTTGCACACCAGTGTAAATTCCTGCCATGATTTCGTGGTCTATGAACTAAGATAAAAAGTGTCTAAAAGAACAAGTTAGAAAGTGTGCAAATTTATACTATCAAACCTGGCTGTGTGATTTGTCGTTTTTTCAAAACATTTACATTAAGAATTTTAAATTTAGAATTGCTGATACAAACAAGACCGAATTGAATGTATATAAAGCAAAATTTTAATGCTAATAGAAAACTTTCACAGAATAGTTGGAATACTATCCCAGATACGTCCGATTACCTATAAAAACATCAAAATTATAATCATAATATACGTTACAGAAATTAAAAAAGGTTGTTAAAGATTGTAAGATCAGATTTCCGGGTTTTGAAGAAGTTGTTATACGATATCTGTCCCTTCCTTTTAAAAAGGATTTAAATGTAAAATATATTGACGCAAATATATTTGACGTATTTAATATTGAAAAAAGAAATCTTAAAGCGTTCAGATTTTAACGATCTCCCTAAAGAGCTCTTTTAAATCTTAATATGATTTATCAGCAGAGATTATCAATGGAGATGGCTCAAGTGAAATAGTGAAACATTTTATAGGCTATCAGATAAATATGCTTTTAGACTAACATTGGAACGTTATTTATCTTCTGCAGATTTAAAAAAGTGAAAAAATATGTAATGTAATTCTATAGAAATATTTAATGCTTTTAATTAGATATATCGTTAATTAAATGCACTTTTATTTTTAGGAAAAAAATAATTTAAAAAATAATATTCTTAAAAACTGCATCTATTGCTTTTAAAAGTTTAGTTTGCTAATTAATCAAATGCGCAGATTAAACGTGAAATAATAACATCTTACTTTTTCAGAATGGAAACAGACTCAAAAGAAAAATGAAGATCACGTTTTGAGACTAAGAGTCATTATGGGATATATATATGGAGAGAGAGAGAGAAAAACGCATTAGAAAATTAAATTATAAGTCTAGGAACGAATCTAACAAAGAATTTGAAGAAAAAGGCCAAAGAATTTGAAGAAGAGTTTTGGAAATACGTCAGTGAGGAAAGACCCCAGTATCACCATATTTAAGAAATATATCTACTATTTTTTCGGATCTACATACTTATGCGAATCAGTCTTTACATATTTAAACTGCAAGAAGACTAAGCATCGTTCCATATTTATTGATTCTCATACTGAAGACTGATTATCATTATCTTTGCCTGAATACGCATAAAATTAGCAAAGCTTGATTAAAGACATGGTGACACAGACTTCCATTAATAATAAGATAATAAAATAAATTTTAATATGTACTTTTTGTAGCTACTTTTCAATTAATATATATTATTAATACCTTCTCGCCCACTGATACTTATTAATATACAAAATTCAATTTTAAATATGTTAAATGTCAAGATTATAATAGTAGACAGAAACATAATTTAACGAAAAAAATGTCGATCATATATACATAGATACTGGCAACCCTGCTATATATATCTTTAAATTCACAGCAATCACAAATTTTATTAAATTTATCGACATAGTCCGCAACTACTCGAAGTTCCGCTGTTTATGATGCCTCAAATATTAGTTTATCTATATATTAGGTAATCTATATATATGTGTAACAACAAGTTCTATAGATAACCATTTGATGCGTCAATCAACAATTAAGCTTTCGAAAATTCCTCCTTCGTTTTCGCGAAGAAGCATTCGATGTATAGATATTGTTTTTCTCTCATAGAGTATAAACAGTCAATTATAATATGGTCGACTTCTGGTTCTCCTTCTTCCTAAATTTTACTTAAGTTTTATTTTCATTCTTTATCTATAGTTTCTTTGCTTAATCTCTGTCTTTTAACAACTTTCTTTTCGTTTCTCAGTAATTCCAAATTTTTCATTTAGTTCACCGAAACTAAGGGTTTTCAGTCCATGCTACATGAAGAACTTGAAATTTTTCATTGAAAGATAAAATTTCTAATTTGTTATCATAGTTTTTCAAATCAATGGTGTGACTACTAACATGGGAACGTTTCAATCGTGTGACTACTTGTCGTAGCATAACCTTTTAAGGTTATGCTACGACAAGTAGTCACACGGTTCATAATGTAACACAATAAATAGTAATAGGGATGTTATAGATTTAATCTTAAAACGAATTTAAAATACATTTTCAACTAACGTAACGTTTACTTCACTAAGTTAATTAGAATTAAATGGGAGAAAAATTGCAGTTCTAAATTTAAAAACTGTTTCTTTAAAATATTTTGAATTCAACTTCTCATATAAGTTTCGCCCATGTTATTCATATCTCATTTACCTTCTAATATAATCATAATACTGAATTTTCAAAGGTGTCTATTGTAAATATAGAATTCTCTTGTAGCTGAAAGATCTCACCTTACAGGTATACGCTCAGTGTTAGCAATACTTTTTCCTCAAACCCTTTTGACTTGCATAAGAAACGCATCTGCTTAAGAGGCACTTGTTCAGATCTCATTCCCTTAAAATGGGAATTCCAATTATTTATCTCAGAATAAGAAACATACTTCTGAAAAGACACTTATAAAGATTAAATAACTTCTTTAAAAAGGCATTGTTCTGTTCAAAATATTAAAAATACTTAAATAATAAATAATAAATAATAAACTTTAAAAACATTCCCTTCACCCAAATAAAATTTTGTAAATAAATGTTCGAGAAACACCTTTCATGATAAAAAAGCGAGGGACAAAGACACATGTCATTTAAAGACAATTAGGACATAGCACATCTTTTTGCAGGAAATCCTGTACTCCAGTTCCTTCCATAATTTTCACTGTACGCCTTCTGCTCCGATTAATGTTTACATTGTAAGTATTGAAATGCTAAGTTAAAAGAAGTTTTCTTGAGAATAGAAGTACCTTTCATCTCTATCATTAGCTGTCTGTCGGCAATTTCAATACCTCTACCTTAACCTCCTTCTAACTGACAAACGCCATCTGTCTAATCACAAGATTTGATCCTTGAACATCTTTACTACTAGGAACTTTATCTTCCTGCAGTAAATTCTTTTAAAATCTTGTCATGCGAGCATTATCTGAATTTTGAGTAGAAATATAATATTTATTTGAAATAATTTTTAATCTCTGTAATAGGCCTTAAATAGAGGTTCTCTTACATAATTAACACATCGGGACTCCTATACTAAGGAACTGGGTCGAGAAGTGTGTCCTTTAAATAGAGATATTCTATGTTCACAGGTGTCTCTCATGAGAGGTCACACTGTATCGTTATTATTACATTTTAAAATCCTTGATTTTCTCCTAAAGATGTTATAAGGTATTTCTCCCGCCTTCTTAGCATGCCTTCGTAGTGTAGTGGTCAGCACGCTGGGCGCGTATTCCAGAGGTCCGTGGTTCGATTCTCGGCGAAGGCGTTGCTCATTTTTCACTTCTCCCGCTTCCAAAAAGTACTTAATGTCTCTACAATGTAATTTTCCTACGTAATCACAGAAACGTGAGTCAGGTGACTCTACAAATTGCTCCTTATGCTTTGTTTTTATTCGTGATTATATTTAATTATTAATTGAAATGCACTCGTTTAGGTTACAAAAACTAAACTTTCCACAAACAGAATTTTTTGATTTGAAACCAAAGCGCAAAAACATAATAACGTGACTTCACAGACAAGTAGTTTACAAACACTAGAAGGCTAACAAATTAAAGAAAGTGTTATTCTAAATTCTAAAATACTAAATTCTAAATTCTAAAATAAAAATGTTAAGCTTTTAGTATTTTCTGCTCAAGTAATGAAATACGTAATATATTTGTAGTGTTAGATAAATAATTTCTTGTCTGGTAGCTTCTGTTCGTGGAGAGACACAATTTATTACAAAGAATGAATATGAGAATGACTATGAAGAAAGAGAATAGAATATGAGAATGAATATGAAGAAAGAAAATTTTTATATTATGAGAGGAAAATTCTTACTTGGATAGTTCCATTAGGAATCCGTGGAAGACATTGGACATAGTATCGCTGATTCTCCAGAAAGGTTTCTTTTGATAGTAGCGGATTACCTGCTCCAGAAGAACAGTGTAGAATAATAAAGGCGTCACCTACAAGAAAAAGAATAATTTCATATTAAAACTATGAATCGTATGTGATCCGTTTCCACTTTGGGAATATTAGGAGTGGAAAGCAATATCTCAAGAAATTTTACAAGTATTACTTCTATCAAAAACGCAGTGCTTAACTTATATCCAGAAAAAAGGCTATTAAATTGAACTTTTAGATAAGAAATATTTACATTTTAAACATGAATTAAAGAAAATTAATTAAACGTAGGCATCATCTACAATGAAAAGGATCATTTCCAAATTAAACATACATTGACAAAAAATATATTTAAAGTTTCTTTTTCACAAGTTCCTTTTTCACTTCTCGGGTATTAGGAACTTCGTATAAGACAGCGTAAGCAAAAATATATCATTTAATTAATTTATTTATTCTGTATTATTCAATTAAAAGTATTTATATATGAACCATTTTCATTGAAAGTGGTGGTTTCTTTGTAATCTGTATGTTAATTTTATAAAAGTTTTTTTTTTTTTTTTTTTTTTTTTTTTATTTTAAATTTTGAAACCTTTTCCTGTCAATTCTTGTTTCCCACTTACGACTCCCTACCAGGATGAGTTTTTAGAATTGCTTTGAATGCAAATGAGTTAGAAGAAGTATTTAAAGGAAGTTCAAGTACAAGTACAAGTGACGGGGGGCGTGGGCACTGTGCCTCTACCATACTGGTTAATCAGTACAGTACCACGTCCACCATTAACTGGAGCAGCCCCAGATGTCAAAAGGGGGGCACACTGACGCCTCGCCGATTTAGTATGCATTGATTATATTTATAAACACAGTGTCTTATACGTCGTTCAAGATACATATTACAAGATTTCCTACGGTGACCGTGATAACACCGTGATAATAGTTACATATATTGTTACATTGAATAATACTTTGACAATGTATGACTTGCTTAAAATATACCTTGAAGTGCGTTTAAAATATGCATTAAAATATGCACAGAAATATGAGCACTGCATATAGGGATACACGTGATATAACACTGATTATATACATTATATATATATATATATGTTGTAGCTACTTAATATAATACAGGGTAAATATATAACGTTATACGGTTCAGGATACATTAGCACATAGTAGAGAATACAGTACTCGTCGCAAAATGCGACGCGTGGAAGACAAATCATAGGATATATAAAATCACCTATAACTTGGATTACACTAGCATCAAACATGCATAAATAAATAAAGAAATACTGATACAGGGATAAATAAACATGCATACATTAAATGCATGTTGGAGACGCATTATGCATTAAGTATATAGTACATCCAGATGTTACACTAATTGGGGTAATTAAATTAATTCATAAATATGATTGAGTAAACATGCATACTTAGAAACATATAATGAAGGTTATAATTGTTTGACTTGGATAAATAAGGTCACCTATATTAGATATACATACAGGGGTATACATTTGCATGAATAAGTGCGTACGCATACGTTCGATACACATTGAATATACATTGCGTATTGAGTGTATTATATACAGCCTAGGTTATTAGAAGTTATTACACACGTTGCGCACTTGATACACGTTACATATATAATTATTATAAAGAGTTGACTTGGATGTGCATAGTCATCTATTAGAATACATATTACACATACTGGTGTAGATAAATACATAGGATATATGGATATATAGGTATACATACATTGGGTATGCATTGAATAATAATTGATGATTTTACTTAAATAAATGAGGTCATCTACATTGGGAACACATTACACAAGCAGGGGTAGATAGATAAAAACATATACATGGATGAGTGATTACACATACGTTATTAAATACACATACGCTTTTAGATACACATTGGGTATAGGTACACATTGTTATTAGATACACATTGAATTTGCATCGCGTATTGAGCATGTTATATATAGTTTGTACATTGAGTATATTATATACAGCTTATTGAGTATATCATGTACACAGGATACACATTACGGGACATGCAGGGGTATATAGGGGGAAAAAATTATATAATAAACTTATACATAGATTGTAGAGTCATTAGGATTTTTTTAGAGACAGAAAAGATGAAATATAACAACCGCCTTCGCCGGGAATCGAACCACGGACCTCTGGAATACCGGCCCACCATGCTACCGTTACACCACGAAGGACACTAGGAAAGTGGGAGAAATACCTTATATACTCCCCTTTTTAAAGGGCGACTAGGGTTTTATTGGACCTAGTCGCCAAATCCTGGGTGCGGAGAATCATCATCCGCAACCCTTTTAGCTCGGGCGCCACTTGTAGAGTCATTAGGATTTTTTTAGAGGCAAAAAAGATGAAAAATAGCAACCGGCTTTGCCGGGAATCCAACCACGGACCTCTGGAATACCATGAAGGACACTAGGAAAGTGGGAGAAATACCTTATAAGATGAGTAAATACGCATGATGCTTATCATGAATTAACTTGGATAAATAAGTCTCCTACATTGGATACACAATACACATACAGAGGTAAATAAATACTACATATGGAGAAGTAGATACGCATACGTTATGTTTATAACGAAGTGACCTGGGTATTATAAGGTCGCCTCATTAAATGCATATTGCAGTTACAGAAATAAATTAAATATATACATATTCCTGTGTAAGTAGATAGAGTGGTGCACATTGCGCATTGACACGCGTTACGCGTATTATAATTATGAAGAGTTCACTCGGATAGGTAAAGTCACCTATTAGATATACGTAACACATACATGGTAATACTAAATACATATTTATAGATAAGTAGATACGCATACATGAGAGATACATTGCATACACATTATACTTTGAGTACATTGCATCTACATATAAATATGCGTTGAAATATTCACATATATGGTGAATTATACTTGATTACGTTACATCTTTGAGTACATTATATTATACTTTGAGTACATTACATCTGCATATAAACATACGTTGAATTATTCTCATATATGACGAATTCCCACTCACTGAATACAAACGTAGTATTATAAGACACATTATACATGAGTCATTAGAATGGATAGACCCAGTACTCTTATGTTTTAAGATAATACTATACGACTTGGCAGAGGTCCTTATCCAGTTCAGACAGTTTTTCCATCATCTTACTGATCTTAATTGTTAGAAGTCGTTGTTTCACTAGAAACTTCGGAAAGAGGTGTTGATTTGTGATAGGGAATCTGACGTGCGTTGCAGTGGTGAGTGAGCAGCTAAGGTAGTGCTCCGGAGTGCCTACTTCTCCGCATGTGTATCTTGTCTGTTGCACTGATTTCAAATCTGTGGAAGTACTCTGGAAATGGGCCGTGTCCGGTAATATACCTAACCAGCTGTGGGTTGGTGACTAACCACATCGGGTCTACATACCCAAAATGATAGTACGTCCTGCGGCCTGTTGTGCTGCAATCCCACTCTTCCTGCCATTGTGCCGTAGCTTTGAGTCTGAGTGACTTTTTCAGGTGGGAAATAGGCCAGGGGATGTTGACATGGGTGTGTGCCTCTCCTGTGGCAGCCTCTTTAGCAAGGCGGTCCGCCGTTTCATTTCCGTCATGTCCGGCGTGGGCCTTCACCCAACCTATTCTAATGTTCCTATTTTGGATTTCAAGTAGATCATTTCGGATTTCTGTGATTATGGCCGAGGAATATTCTGGGTTGCTAATAGTGGGGAGAGAGGAGAGGCTGTCAGTTTTAATGGAAGCTCTATAAAAATTTTGATTGAGCGCATAGCGGATGGCTTGAGCTATGGCCACAGGTTCTCCCTGAAACACACTATTGTGTTCACGCAGCTTCCCTTTCCATTCTGTTACAGTAGCCCCAGCTTGCATGACCACGTAGGCGCACCCAACCTGGTGCTTAGGAGTCCTTACTGACGTGGGATGCTTTCTGGCTACTTTGCTCTTGAATCTATTATGCTCGGCCGTATTATACGTGCCAGTTGATAATCACCGGCTAGTTTAATTTAACAGCCAGCTACGCTAGGCATTTGTGCCTAGTTTCAGCTAAGTCTATTTAGTTTAGTATTAGACTAGGTTCTTATTTTCTTATACTTATTTAAAAAGTCCGAGGAGAGGCTTTCCTGTAAGTCCGAAAAGGGGGCCATCTGTTATTCTTTCTTTGTGTGAATAAAAGCTTATGTGAACCCTTCTCACATCTCTGTAGTCATTAATGGAACTCAGCGATAATTCGCTACTTAGTTCCCTAGGTTCCTCGACATTTTATAATAGGCAAAGTAGTGAGAAATATTACATCTTTTAAAGTCCATTTTCGAGAAAAAGTTCAGTTAATGGTAACAATGAATGCAATCTGCTATGAGTGTTTTATCGATAAACAACTCTGGAGTAAAATTATTTTTAAAAAAACCTTCAAAATTTTCATTATTTTGTCAATATCAATTTGCGTAGTTAACGAAATTACAAATATAATTACTTTGAAAGTGAGTAAGTGAGTGATCGCCCCCAAGAAAGACCACTGACCTGGCCGTAGCCTCACAGTGTTTCTTCCTGCAGAAACCATCTACTCTGTACTCCACCCTGCCCCGAGAACGCAGCCGAATAGACAGCTAAAAACCTCGTAATGTCTATATGTAAGCTTGGATATTGTTGTTCGGGGAAAGAGTATCGTGTTAGGAACTACTTAAAATTAAGCAAAAACAATCAAAAGATTTTTAAGAATCGCTGTTTGAATAGAACAGAAACTTGTATTAGATAAAGTAAGGTAAGGACTCAGCCTGGAAAATTAACTGTTGTGGACTGTCCGGACTTGCCAAATGTCTACATGCGAATGCTAATC